CTGCTCGTACCTCGAAAATCTTGCAACCTGGTAAGTAAATTGGTGGTAGGATCATATGCACATGCACACGAAGCAGCAGTTCAAACAGTCGAGCGAACCTCCTGCACGCTGATATTCGCATGTTTTCGACTACCTCAACGCTGGCAATGGTTTGCATCGCTATCATACACATAAGTTTGGAGTCATATACTCAATGGTAGTAAATTATGTTCTCAATATGCATTTAATGTCCATGCATCGCATCTGTACGCAGCTCTATTCTCCAAATTTTTCCACAACAATCGCGACCGCAATTTCTTCACCTATCTGCAGCGACTCGATTTATCGATGAGCCTTACCGTAAGTCAGTCAGTTGCAACGTAAGAACTTCGAACGTATGTACATAAGTTCATGCTGGCATACCACATGAGCACAGAGACGCAAATGTCAAATCAAATCCCATAGTGATACAGATAGTAGGGGTATTGAAAGTAATGAAGAAGACTAGGGTTTGAAGATATTATTCAAGAAGTATAATTCAGTGAGATAAGGTTAGAAAGACAAAGGTAGAGGTGCTGACGAATCCAGAAGATTAGGATTTGAGAGAATTCAAAGAATGGATGCATTCGCGCCATTGCAAACGATTTTGAGCCACGTCGTTCAAGGTCTCTAACCATTGGTGCTTATCGTCTCACGGACCCCGACCAGGTAGTCTACATCTACCAACATCACTCAGTTCACATGTCAGTAATTTCATGGATTTGTGCCATGTTTTGGTTTGGCCGCCCCTAACTTTCTTCCAATCTACTCCTACACCACAAAACATAGCCCGTCGAGGTAGTCGGTGGTTAGGCATTCGTACCACATGTCCCAACCACCTCAACTGATGAAGTGTCACTACTTCATCTATTGATCTGCCATCCCTACAGTTCAATTCAATTCGAACATTTTGTCTGATCGCACTGAGCCTTTTCGATTGTTTGTTTATTGATGTTGACGGTAAACATTCAGGCCATCAACAACATCCTTCTTGATTCCCTTAATCAATATAACGTTTTATACTTTTATCTAATATGCCTCACTATTAACATGTTCAACAGAATTCTTGTTATCATCATTATTGTATTTACCACCATGGGAAAACAAGTATATATTTACTGTTGAACAATGAAAATGGATTCACCGAAAAGAGAACTTGTCGACGAACCAATCTTGTTTTATGTCTCAATGGGTATATTCCGTATACCTTCATATATTTTGGCGAAAAAAGTGTGCACCGAGTTATATCGATAAAACTTAAGCCGATTACTATTTTCCTATATTTGTGACTACACCCTTAAAATTTATCATTACGACTAAAAAAAGAAAACATCAAAATTTTTGATGTCAGTCGGATACTACAATTCTAAGTGTCTAAATTAAAAATAACCTAACCAATGAAATTAACTTTAACATATTACATGACATTTTCGACATATCAGCATCGTTTTATCTTTCAGAGGTTAATCAGACGGTCTAATATTTGAAAGAACGCCTAGAAATACGCTATCAAGAGGACTTACTGCGCAGCTATCTGTGGTCATTACTACCAAATGACCGAAGTTACTGAAAACCACAGTAAGGTGTGGACAAAATCATTACATCCCAATAATTATTAGTATATGTATGTATGCACATAGTTATAAAGTCTTAACGGTAGCTTAAACATATCTATAAATAAACCGCATATACCCAGAAGTAAGATAATTTTCAATGACACATTAAAAGTAGACGGCACACCTATTTTGCTTAAATGTCTAACATATGACTGAAACAAGACGACCAGTCAATCTCAACTTACTCTTTGTATAAAACTGGCTAAGCGTTTTTTCGATGGTTTGTTGAAGACCTAAACATATCAAAAATCAGAACACTACCCCTTATAACCAAAAATAAAAGTAGCCCGTCAATCTGTCAAATTAGTTGTATTATTCACAGTGGAGTTTTGTCCTTATTATCCTTATGTTTCAGTTTGTCTAAGCTGACCCTCTTAAAAAGTTAATATATGATTAGATAATTCAAAATGTACACAGTAAACTACCATTTCATTACGATATAAAAAATACTTGAAAAAGATGAGAAATGTTTTCATTAGTAGCTTGTACAGTGCGAACTCATGTCATATAAACAGAACAATTGATGAAATTCAAAAATTCTTGTTGATTGGACTAAATTCAGTGTTTTTATTAATATATTCATTTATACTAATCCTTCAATATATTGTATTAAAACTTGACAGAACAAATGAATCCTAAAGGACAATCATACTTTATGCAGTGTTATTAGATCGATTCGGATTCATTTATTGACTGGTGAGGCGTGAATAAAAAAAAAAATTCAAGCTATAAGAAAGCTTTCCTTTTGTATAATAAAAGTGCATTCTCAACCTAAGAGTACGATCAATAACCAAACATTTTCATGTTCCTGGTCTCCTGAGTCCACGTTCTAAACTACATATTGGAACTTTTACTGTTCGAACCTCATACCAAAAAAGAAATCAAGCTTTCTAAACTAGGACTTTGGAATCTCGCACCGTGGATGTATGCTGTCTCCGAAACGCGCATATATAATCCGAGTAGGATCATTAATTTAACTTCACCATTTCCAAATTAAAAACTGGCCAGATTTACACTCCGTGTATCTCAAAGTCCTACTTCTGCTTCCCGTAGCCTCGCTGGTGTAAGCCATAGCATTGATTATTTGGGCAGAATTGGATTTCTTACACTGGATCTCAGTAGATAGTGGTTTGTGCTCTGTCAGACTGAACGGTAGAGTACGGACTGGCAAAGATAGGGAGACTGGTCGTGGTCTGTTGGTTGTCGTTGCCTATGCTCCGACCGACTGCTGCAGCTCGAACGAGGTTAAAGATGGGTTTTAAAGAAGGCTTTCCAACTTCCTTCAAGAATCTAAGCGCTCTGATCTAGTAATAATGACTGGAGATTTTAATGCTTAGGTAGGTAGACTAAGTGAAAAGGGAGAATACCTGTGTGGATCTTACGTTGTCGTGGTTCAAAGATCAGATAATGGCAACCGTATGGTGCAGCCTAATTGATTACGCTTGTCACCCTCAATGGAGGATAGACCGCCGACCATTGTTCTCTAGCCTACTCTCCTGGACTTCCGTTTCCGAAATTCTGTTCAATCTTCGTTCGAGCGCGTATTTGTCTGCTGCTTACTGGACGTAAGAATTGCGCCCGGAGCCCCTTCTGAGGTTACTGCCGGTTTCAAGCACGGATAAAGGAGGGTTGGACATCCCATCCCGCAGAAAAATAACTCGACAGAAAAACGCTAACCAGAAATATCGATTCAAACCACTCACACTCTGCTTCGCAGTTAGAAGATCTTCATTCGGAAGAGTTATGACGTCTCATGATGAGAGCCAAGTTCATTCGGAAGTCACGAGCCCGATGACTCTTCTCACAACCAGAGCAATTTTATAATTGCTAATAATTTAGTTATATAACACGTCCGTACAATGTGGGAGATCGGTAGACTGTTCCAAATCGCTGCAGAGATGCAAAGATACAACTTGGAGGTGCATGGAATCAGTGAAACGCATTACACATATGTCGGACAACTTGGACTAGCTTCAGGAGCGCTGCAGTTGTACTCTGGTCATAAGAAAATGCCTTATACATACAAGGAGTTATGCTGCTGTCCAAACAAACAAAAACGGCACTAGTCGGATAGGATTCTCAAGGACCTAGGATCATCAAAAAATCATTCAAAACAAAGAAACAAGGTTTGCAGTGAACTTCATCCAATTCTATGCGCCTACCGACGACCACAATTAAGATGTTAAAGAACAATTCTACGAGAGGCTGCAGTCAATCGTCGAGAGATGCTCACCAAAGGATTTGATCATTCTGATTGGAGACTTATATGGCAAGGTTGGCATGGACAACACCGGATATGAAGACATCATGGGACGACATGGACCTTGAGAAATGAAAAGAAATCGTGAGAGATTCGCAAACCTGTGTCTTCAAAAAATTGGTCATCTGAGACACACTATTCCCAGAAAAACGCATTCACAAAGCTACACCAAATCACACTACTCAGAACCAAATCAGCCATATCGATATCAATTAAAAGTTCAGAAGGATAATGGAGGACGTGAGAACCAAGAGAGGAGCTGATATAACCTCAGATCACAATATGCTGGTCGCCAAGATGAAACTGAAACTCAAGAAGCACTGGTCAATGGGGTGGACAACATCACAAAAATTTAATACGCCGTTTCTTCAGGATACTGGCAAACTCAACGAATTCAAAATAACCCTTAGCAAGTTTCCACGCTTTTCAAAATCTATTCAATAGATATGAAACTATCATGCAGAACAAGTGGAAAGGGATTAAGGAGGAAATCACTTAAACAACAAGTGCCATCACAAGCAATGAATCTTTCTTGGTACTATGGATCAGACTCTAGAACGGATGAATAAGAAGGTGGCAATCGACATCAACCGAACAAGAGCAGAAAGAGTCAAGGCAGATGCTGAATACACAGAAGCAAGTGAAGAGTAGCATCAGAACCAATCTAGATATTAAGCTAAATATGATACTGATTCATACCAATACCACAAGATAACTCAATATCAGTACCAAAAAACAAGATCTTAATCATTTATGAATAGCAATTCTTGCATTGCCGAAACCCATTCCTTGAAATAAGAATTCAGAAATTATCTCTAGTTTCAAATTAACTGAATCTAAATAATTATCAGCCTTACTAATACAAATGTCTGGAACACTACGGTTCAGAAAAGCAATAATTTTTAATGAGTCATGATTGAGTAAACATCATCCACTGACTATTCAACTGCTAGTGGCTAAGATAGTGAACAATCTACAACAATGTAAATCCAAGTTGTGAATCATTTACGAATCCTACTGAATTATTCAGTCGAAATGAGTACCATCTGTTCAAAACGTAACAAGTGCAGTCTAGAACTCACGAAGAATGAAGAAGTCAATAAAAATCTTTGGAACAGAATATTAGTTGTTGATAGAAACAACTATAAAAAAATTTGACAAATTATCAGTAATGTTTAATATACACAAATTGGTATATTAAAGTCTTATTGTTTAATAGTGCAATATTACAGTTACTAGTATACAAGTCTACGCAATCAGAAGCAGCAAAGAAAGGCTAAACATTTATTGGTTATGTTTTACAAAAGCAAAATATTTTTTACATCATAAACAACTACCATAGTCTCATGATGATAAAAAATAAAAATGCAAGAAGAAAACAGTATGGACAAGAAATAAAGAGACTTTGATGTCTTAATTAACGCCTACCATTTGGAGGCAACCATGGTGGGCGGTTATTCCTAATGACAGAACTGGAAAGACCTGTACTGAAGTTGGGAGGATGCACAGAATACGGATTAGCGTATGGATGACTTCTAGGGTGACGATAGACAGACCCACCTCGATGATAGGTATCATTTTGAGGTGGACGATTGAAAGATCCAGGTTGCCAATTTGGAGGGATGTTGTTATTTATTTTACCATAATCTGATTTGAATGAACGTTGTGAGTGGTTACCCCGATTTTGCGGATAACGTGGTAATGAATTCATAACCATCCTACTCATTGGTGAATTTGAACAAAAATCTCTACCACTATCCTCCCTATCTGAAGAATTGTCTCGCGCATAGTACTGCATAGCTGCATTAGCATTGAAACGTCCACGATGTTCATCACTGCGAAAACTCCCTCGCCCTCTACCTCTGCCACGTTGTGGAGGTTGAAGGTAAACTGGTGGTGGCATTTTAACCTTTGAAAAAGCAGGAAATGACGATATTTATTCTTCATAAATTTGATCACTGGTATTGTAAACAAAGTGAAAATACGATTCATTACGCAAAGCAAAACAAAATTTGTGTTTAAGCTAAATAGAATACGCTTGGAAAAATTCCCAGTTCATTGATTGTAATTGTTGATCCTGACAACTGCTAACTAAGAGAGGAAGAAGTCTAGTTTTAATGATTCCCATGAGTGATTTCACAAACTTAATCACTGAAATACTTCTATTATCGACAGTAATTATATCCCTAGTTTCGAAATTGCAATCCTACTGAAATCATGATTTATGAGCTAAGCTGTGAACTACATATGGCTTCTTGAAACCATAAAAACGTACGTATGTATTTATGGATAATCTAGCCTTCAAGCGAGTGTTATAGTTAATGCAATGGATTGAGACCGAATGATCTATATTTTTAAATCCAGTCTTATTTTTAAAATCTATTTTCAAACAAAATGGCCATTACGATAATACTTAATGCTTGCCTTATGTTTTTGACTTATTTTGCTTACAACGATTTACAGTCATCGTTAATTTGATTTAAAAATGAATCTCTCATACAAACCTAAGTTTCTAAAAGTTGCTTTTGTAAAACAGAATTACGCTTTTTAATGTACATCCCAATACCATTTTTGCATTCGCGTACGTCTAGCCTTGACACTTTCATCAGATCAGTTTTTCATCTATTCTACATTTACGCTACATACAATGTAGACTAAGTTGGTAAAAACCGAACGTTAGTCTGCTATGCATATTTCTGTCATATGGGGAGCATAATTGATTTTAATAGATAGAAAGGATTAAGAAACACGCAACACAACAATGTATAGGGTCTTACAGATTCAAGTAACTTCGAAGGAAAAACGAAGCCTTTTGGATACTGAGGATCTGAAAAAAATAATGATACAGCTTCAGAAACCTTTAAATCAGGAACGTGACCTGGGACTGCACTAGGTACACGACTTCCAGGTAAATAAGCCATTTTGTTAGGCCAAATTAGACCACTAATTCCAGACGTAACACGTGGATCAATCGCAGATGCCCAAGATGGTATGATATTCTCTTCCAAATCATTCTTTTCCACTTTTTCAGCTGGTACTTTGTATAGGGAATGGAACAATGGACCAGCGGAATGATCAACTCTACAAAACAACTGATCTGAACCACGAACATTTCTTTCGATTTCTTCTTTTGTTAGAAGATTTCTTCGGCTATCCAAAGCTTTCAATAAACGAACCTCATCAACAAACGGCAATAAAGCAACACCCATCCATAGAAAGCGTTTGCCATTTAAGTCAACTTTGAAGTCGGTCGGATAAAAATCAATAATGGGAGAATCAGGGTCGGTCATCAAGTCCTGCCACGCTGGAGGGACATGACTACGAGAATCTGCTGGGAAAACACCCATAAGTTGTTCCAGTGGTCTAAACGGTTTTGTTTCTTTTTTAGTAAAGTCAACATCGAGTTCTGTGATTTTGGAGAAATCACTAGCAAATGGAGCATAATGATATGGGAAATACCAATCCCACGAAGCACAGCCTTGGTAATAATAGGCTAAGACCCAGCACAGACCAAGGGCATATTCCTGACCAACTTTGATACAGAATTCCGGTGCATCTGTCGGGTCAACTCCAAATTTAGACTGATAATATCGTGATCTCCATCCATCTTCCCAAAATCGTACTTCATCTGCGGCATCCATCATCTCATCCTCATCATCGTGATGATTACCTGATTTGTTGTTGTGACCGGATGAAACACACTGTTGACTTGGATTATTATTAGAACTACCCCGATGTATTTTTTGAGGAGGAACGTAATTATCACTAGTATTTGAGGTTCCGTTTTCGGGAGGTCTATCACGTCTTAACATAGCCTTCAATGCTGTTGCTGCCTCAAGGTTATTTAAGTTTCTATCCACCCAATTAACACTCTCGTGAAAACTACTCTGATAACGCCGTGCAGCTAATAACTCATCAGCAGAGACAGGTTGGTTGGCATAGTGACCTTTGGGGTGGGCTATTCCATACCGTCCTTTTAGAGAAACTGGTTCCATAATGCCAGATTGCGCAACTTCATATGATGGACGGTGACCTAATCGTTGTGGAGCGAATCCGTGTTGGTTTCTGTCACAACCATTTCCGGAAGCATTTTGACGTTTTCTTTTGCGAAATTGTAGTTCGGATTCACGACGATTTTTGAAGATTTCATCTTCCATCTTCCCCAAGTCAACCATAATAAGTTGGACGCGCTCCAAATTGACGCGTCCACTATCAGTCAACCACCCTCCCGTTTTCTGAACTGTCGATTTGTAGATTTCAATCAAACGATCAATCGCTCCTTCGCGGATTTCCAAACTCGGAAGATGAGGGAGAAAGTCGTTTCCAACGAAAAAACACATGAAAACCCAATCATCAATCACTCTTTCGAGATCCCACTCAAATGTAATGCCGGCCAACTTCAGATCTTCCGCTAGATATTGTCTTAGAATATCCAACCGAATAAAGATGAAATCCTTCAAAAAAAAAAAAAAATTATGGCGAACATGAATAATCATTGAAACCTTGAGGATAATAATCATTATTTCTTAAACTACCGACTATACATTTACAATAACTAAGTACAGCATATTTCAGATCCAATGCACATAAAAAAGTTAAAAAAAACTTGTAAATTTAGGACGTGAAGCAGCATAACATGAAATTATTTATTAAGTAATAGTAAGGCTTTTTACAAGTCCGCTTTTTCAAGGGACATTTTAATTGATTTGGTTTAAACAGTTTCAATCAACTGAACGAAAACTTACTGAATATTTTCGATGGCTTAAAGATGTTGATATTGCATACTATAGAGCAAGTAAGTGTCTTTGAAGTAGTATATATGGGACAAAAGCTGCTACAGTGATGTTCCTAACCAATAGAGGTAAATGAACACTCAGCTCCAAAACCCTATACTATTGCATTACACCAATTATTCACAAAATAAAAAAGCCCATAAGTTAAAAGTTTGAAAATAAGCGGAATGTTCGCAATGTGTCAACAACAAACTCAGGACTTTTCGTTACATCATACATTGAGGTCTAAACCGATAAAAAGACATTTCATGAATATTAAGAAATTCGATAGTATGCTGAAAGGTTGATGCAAGACGATTCGAAAATTGAAGTTCGTCCAAGACATCAGGCTGATGAAATGTTTACACATTTATTCAAACATCCGAACGCACTCAATCACTCACAAGGATCAGACAGTTAGACCTCGACCTGACTAGCTTGATGTGTTGTGATTTCTCATATTAATCGAGCTTTTACGGTTTTATTACAAATTTGTTGAGACAATCAAACGACCACAGTCAGTCAGTCAGTTACAACGTACAACTTCCTACGTACGTACATCATTTCAAGTTGCCACGCCACATTAACACAGAGACGCAACTGTCAACACGCTCAACCGCTTCACTCCCTATCACTAGTTCAAGTGCTGATGCAACCCAATCTTGAAGCAACATTTTGCATTTCGAGGGGGAAAACCGCATCCCGAACATGCTTGCATTGTTGCTTGGGGTAGTCAGAAGACTATTTTGTCAGCATCTTCACCAAGTAAGACTATGTCATCGGCATATTCCATGTCAACAAGCAAGTCTCCTAGTAGAAGGTCCATCCCTGAAAAGTCAGACAAAGATAATGTTATCTCTGAAAGCATGCCTGTGACAAAGTTTGACAAGGATGGAGAAGGTGGATAGCTCTGACGAACACCACTTGAAGTAATCAATTCCGATCACAGCGCGCCATAAGCTCTCACTCGACCGGTAGCGTGCGAGTAGTAGAGAGCTTATATAAGGTTAATGTACTTTCTTTGGTACTCCTTTCGACGACAGACACTGCCACAGAACCTCACGACCAACCGAGTCAAATGCCGCCCTAAGCTCTAGGAATACAACTAAAGTGGGACGTCAAAATGTGTCTATGTTCCAGGACCTGACGAAGAGTGAATATGTGGTCTATACAACCTCGTCCTGGTCGGAAACCAGCCTGGTTTTCTCTAGTCTGCTTGAGCCATGTCACTTAAGGTCACTAACCTTCGGTTACTATCGTCTCGCGAACCCTAACCAGGCAGTCTACACTTACCAACATCACTCAAACCACTTGTCGGAGTATTATTGCAGCCAATATTTCAGACACTATATTAGTCAGACTGATCGCTCTGTGATTGTCACCAGAGGACTTTTGTCCGTTTTGTAGACTGGAACAATCAGTAATTAAGACCAGTCAGATGGGATTACGCCCAGTTTCCAAATTCTAACTAATATTTCAGTCAATCCAATTGCCAAAACTGGACCACCATTCTTAAAAATCTTCGGGGTTCGCCTTTCAGGCCGTGCTAGTCTCCCCCGCCTCAGATTTCCTATAGCTTTTTCAACTTCATTACGAGTCGGAGGATTTACATCGATTTGCTATTATGGTATAATCAGCAGTCGGATCCCTAGTATCAGTTTCTTTGATAAGTCGCAACAGTTGTCCATTATTACTTATCATCACTGCCTTTCCCATCGCCCTTGCTTTCGCTACCCACCACTATTTGTGATAATCGCGTGGGCCTCTCATCAGCATGCGCTTCAGCTGACTCCGCTCCTCATTATGTTCACAGCCAGACGGGTTCAGTTTTCAGGCGTCAATCGGATCGGTAGATGCTACTGAAATCCACTGATTCTCCCTAACCTTGTAGTTTGCCTTACAAGCAGAAATTACTGCTGTTTCCACAGCTTCTTGATATCGTCCCAAGCTTCCTACGGATGGGAATCACTTACGGGACCGCCCTAACTATTTTTCTAGTTGCTCCTGAAATATATTCTTAGCTATATTATCATTAAGTAGAACCTGAAGAGGTTTTCTTGCTGTATCTTTCCTACGTGCAGCAAGTCGCAAATAATTACGCGCTCGCACTATACCATGGTCTGAATCTAAACATGTTCTCCAGAGCGAGCACCCGTCTACTATCGCCTCCTTTCATCAATGGCTGAAATCAATGTGATCTAGTTGGATGCAAAGTTTGGACGAATTTTGAGCTCGCCATCTCAAAAGATGTTTCTACTTATGCCTAATGCTAGTATTTGCTAGAAATAGGCTATTATCTGAGCATTGCTGCACCATACGGTCGCCATTATCTGATCTTTGAACCACGACAACGTAAGATCCACACAGGCATCCTCCCTTTTCACTTAGTCTACCTACCTAAGCATTAAAATCACCAGTCATTATTACTAGATCAGAGCGCTTAGATTCTTGAAGGAAGTTGGAAAGCCTTCTTTAAAACCCATCTTTAACCTCGTTCGAGCTGCAGCAGTCGGTCGGAGCATAGGCAACGACAACCAACAGACCATGACCAGTCTCCCTATCTTTGCCAGTCCGTACTCTACCGTTCAGTCTGACAGAGCACAAACCACTATCTACTGAGATCCAGTGTAAGAAATCCAATTCTGCCCAAATAATCAATGCTATGGCTTACACCAGCGAGGCTACGGGAAGCAGAAGTAGGACTTTGAGATACACGGAGTGTAAATCTGGCCAGTTTTTAATTTGGAAATGGTGAAGTTAAATTAATGATCCTACTCGGATTATATATGCGCGTTTCGGAGACAGCATACATCCACGGTGCGAGATTCCAAAGTCCTAGTTTAGAAAGCTTGATTTCTTTTTTGGTATGAGGTTCGAACAGTAAAAGTTCCAATATGTAGTTTAGAACGTGGACTCAGGAGACCAGGAATAACGTTTCGTGTACTCAAATCGTTTGCATCAGCGGCGTCAGGTGATAAAGGAACGTGAGAGTGTTTGGTCATGAATGTAAGGGTGTTATTGAAAGTATAAGTGGGATTTGATTCTGACTAGTTTTGACTCGTGTGTTGTTACGAGTATGAAGGCGGATGTCACTTACTCATCACCCAAACCGTCGAAGGGTTTTCCTGCTTCAGGATCCTGAAGAAAAGAAATCGGATTAGCGCTGGTCTTAGCAACCAGATAGTGTGACCGCAGGGCCTAAAGGACAACTACTTGAGACCGGTTGCGCACGGCCTCTTTATCAGGATTTTTTAAAGTGTTAGCTCCGCTATTCGAAGGGCCTTACCACCAGAGACAGAAATCCATGGAGTAAGGTGAGTTGTGACATTTTGAGTGTGGAGCTTTTCTAACCCCTTCCATCCTTGTTAGAAGGCAGCATCGCTACAGATGTTGGTTGTCCGAGGGAAACACCTTACTGCTGTTCCACCTTTTTACAGTGAGCAGTTCGACTTCACCCTCAGAGTTGCTGCTTTTAGTTCTCCAAAACTGCCTAGCACGGTAGGACTCAAAGGAACATATATTCCAGCCAATATAGTTCGGCTGAGTCATCGCGATAGGCAAGCCCGACCACCACGTCAAGGAAGCAGCTACTGCCGGAATGTTGATTCGCAACTAGAAAGCTGATTACAGAAAGATTTCATAGCCTTACACAATATCCAGTGCTAGGTAATGTGGTTGAAAATGCTAAATAGGTTAGGTTAGCTCTACTAGTGTACAAAAACTTAATTTCTGACATTTATAACAAAAAATGACCTCCTGTCCATTGGTTTACAATAAGGAACAAAAAATGTTAAGGTCAGACTGTGAGCTAAATTTGTTTACTTCTTTATAGTAACTAGTGGAACGAAGATTCACAAAAACGATTAAAGTAAAACTAAAAATATACATCAAGTCATTTCCAAGTGAGTGAACGTACCACATCTCCCGAGGGTAAGGGAGGAGGACCTTCGTTTGGATCTTCTTCTCTTGGAGCACCTACACAATCCTCCATCTCATGACCCATCTGGCCGCATAAATCACATGGCTTTGGTTGGTTTGGTTTAAATTCTTCACGAATAATGGTAAAATATGGTTCATGTGTGGCCAATCCAAGCATTATAAGGTCAGCATCAGCGCCACATAAGCAATGCTTAGTATTAGCATCATGAGTTGGATTATTCCTTTGTCGTCTGATAAAATCCATGATTTTGTGTTCGCCTTCACCAGGAACATTTGCGTCACTCAAGAATACCTCAAAACAATGAATGAAATATAAAATACTAATTATCTTAATGAACTGAATATCAAAAACGCAAGAAACATCCACCTGAAAAACCCGATATTGGTCTAAAATCAGTCATAAATGACCCGATCGTAGGTGGTACCTTGATATGGTGATAAGGCTTGGAAATCGTAACAACCCAATCGAGTTAAAATGGATGGAACACTTGTTCTTGTTAGTCCTACCATACTAGGTAGGTCTGCTAGAGGACGGTAAGACTGAAATCAGAAAGCTAAGATCCGAGAGCAACGTGTGACTGCTGACTGTACAAGGATATGATGGAAGATATTTCACACAGTATCTGCAGTGAAACTGCCTTCCCACAACGGAAGAGGTAAGATAAAGTCAACCTGAAAAATGATACCTCACCTTACTCCTGCGGTCTTGCCTACAAAGCCTTTTGAAATAGGAAGCTAAAACATCAAAAAATTCATATGAAAAGGCCTCTGTGGTCAAGATATCAGCTTTAAAATATCACATTTAACGCAGTCCCCTTTTCAAGGCCCTCAAAACGGAATATCCTGATCAGGTTACAAATAACCAGGAAGTGATAACTGCGGCGTATCTGCTAGGATATTCAACCAATATCCCAAGAGAATTATTGGTCAATTCCTATTTGTTAATTCCTACTGGTCAATTTTATCGTCGTCCTAGATATCAATGTCACGTGCTCCAATGTTGTTTCTAATTGGTTGTCCTGACTATCAATGGCACTTCAAACCTTGCTTCGTATTGGTCGTCTTGAATGTCAATGTCAAAGACTTCTATGCTGTTTCCTATCCCGGATCGCTAGTCCGGGATCCTGATTCTTTTCTGGACTCAGATCTCGTGCTTTCTAGATGCTTGTAAAATACAAATTCTACTTCATAACAAGTCTTCTTATTTTTACTCAATATGGGGGTTAGGATAGTTGGATTTGAGTAGCATGTCATGTCGCCGGATACTCGATCCTCTCTCTCTCTTCCCGACTAGGTAAACTCGTAATAGTTCAAGCATATCAAAATGACGAGTTTACGAGCAGGCGTAACAGTATCCGAATCAGCTATAGGAAATCTGAGGCGGGGGAGACTAGCACGGCCTGAAAGGCGAACCCCGAAGATTTTTAAGAATGGTGGTCCAGTTTTGGCAATTGGATTGACTGAAATATTAGTTAGAATTTGGAAACTGGGCGTAATCCCATCTGACTGGTCTTAATTACTGATTGTTCCAGTCTACAAAACGGACAAAAGTCCTCTGGTGACAATCACAGAGCGATCAGTCTGACTAATATAGTGTCTGAAATATTGGCTGCAATAATACTCCGACAAGTGGTTTGAGTGATGTTGGTAAGTGTAGACTGCCTGGTTAGGGTTCGCGAGACGATAGTAACCGAAGGTTAGTGACCTTAAGTGACATGGCTCAAGCAGACTAGAGAAAACCAGGCTGGTTTCCGACCAGGACGAGGTTGTATAGACCACATATTCACTCTTCGTCAGGTCCTGGAACATAGACACATTTTGACGTCCCACTTTAGTTGTATTCCTAGAGCTTAGGGCGGCATTTGACTCGGTTGGTCGTGAGGTTCTGTGGCAGTGTCTGTCGTCGAAAGGAGTACCAAAGAAAGTACATTAACCTTATATAAGCTCTCTACTACTCGCACGCTACCGGTCGAGTGAGAGCTTATGGCGCGCTGTGATCGGAATTGATTACTTCAAGTGGTGTTCGTCAGAGCTATCCACCTTCTCCATCCTTGTCAAACTTTGTCACAGGCATGCTTTCAGAGATAACATTATCTTTGTCTGACTTTTCAGGGATGGACCTTCTACTAGGAGACTTGCTTGTTGACATGGAATATGCCGATGACATAGTCTTACTTGGTGAAGATGCTGACAAAATAGTCTTCTGACTACCCCAAGCAACAATGCAAGCATGTTCGGGATGCGGTTTTCCCCCTCGAAATGCAAAATGTTGCTTCAAGATTGGGTTGCATCAGCACTTGAACTAGTGATAGGGAGTGAAGCGGTTGAGCGTGTTGACAGTTGCGTCTCTGTGTTAATGTGGCGTGGCAACTTGAAATGATGTACGTACGTAGGAAGTTGTACGTTGTAACTGACTGACTGACTGTGGTCGTTTGATTGTCTCAACAAATTTGTAATAAAACCGTAAAAGCTCGATTAATATGAGAAATCACAACACATCAAGCTAACCAAATCGAAGACTGACCATTAGATTCTTCCATCCTGGATCTTTTGTCAAACGAGAATATATATACCCTCTTAAGGCAACAGCTAAGCGTGCCATAAATGGTGTTCCTGGCGTAATACAATTTGAATCAAAGTGTTCTTCCTTAGGAGGTGGAAGATGTGCTCCTTTCGCAATTAGTTCGTTCCTTAAACGCTCAATAGTTATTTGCTTTTCTTTCGCCTCTTTGGCTGCTCGAAAACGTCTGGAGCGTTGTTGATTCATCTTAGCACGCGGAGCAACGCCGTCGATGGCCATGTACAACACTTTTCTAGGGCGAACAATAGCGAATAGTCTATCAATGTATTCAAAAATAGCCACAAACATCTCTGATTCTGTTTTTGGAGCTGGTTTGTTTTCTGGATGAGTACATGGATGGATAATACCGTTCATATCCAAATACAGATTATCAAATTCTTCTCCATTTGGATTCGGTTCCAACGTATTTATAGGTGATCTATTGCCATCATCATCCAAAATAGCTCCGCGTTTCTCTGCACAATGAGTAACAATTGATGGATATTTCATACTTAGCCATCGGAAAAAAGCCGGAACACCCATGGCTGACTAACCTAGAAAAAAGTGAATAGAGGGAACAAATTGGTTCGATATAAGTTTTACGATATATCATTTTATATTCGTAGAGTATGTAAATGCACTACAACTAATAGGTAACGGATACAAACCTTGCCAAATAAACGTCAAAAATCTACTGATAAATACAAAATAGCCATCCAGATAAATCTAAGTAGTAGTTACTAAGTGACTACTTCTACTTAGCCTTCCAGCTTACCCCTACATCATACAACATCGCTCGTCGTCATATCTGAACCTGAACTGATGTACGAAGATGTAAGTTGTAGCTGACTGACAACATCATTAGTCGAGGCAGTCGACAGTCAGGCATATGCAACACGTCCCAACCACCTCAACTGATGAAGTTTCACTGCTTCAAGATCTGCCATCTTCACCTAATATCCTTTTCCTAATAACAGCATTGCTTATTCGATGGTCCCAAAATATACGAGCAATGCTTCAAAGACACGGATGATCGAAAACCAGAAATCTACGAATGTCCTGAACTCTTAACGGCCATGTTTCGCATCCGTTTAGTAGGACGGAGCGAACGGCTACACATTACACTCATCCTTTGGTTAGCAAGCGGACATCTCGCCTGCGCCATAGGTGACACAGGTTGGCAAAAGCCAATCGAGCCTTCTGTATCCGAGCTGAGATTTCATCACAAACCAGGCCATCAGCACGGATCAGACTCAAGATAAGTGTAACGGTCAACACGCTCGACCACTTCACTCCCTATCACTAGTTCAGGTGCCGATGCAACCCAATCTTGAGGCAACATTTTGCATTTCGAGGGTGAGAACAGCATCCCGAACATGCTTGCACTGTTGCTTACGGTAGTCAGAGGACTCTGCATTTTGTCAGCGTCTTCACCAAATAGAACTATGTCATCGGCATATTCTAGGTCAGTAAGCAAGCCTCCTGGTAGAAAGTCGACTTCTGAAAAGTCGGACGAAGATAAGGTTATATCTAGCAGCATGTATATGACAAAAGTGAACAAGAATGGGGGAAGTGGACATCCCCGGCGTACACCATTTGAAGTAAGGAATTCCAATGACAGTTTGCCGTAAGCTCTCACTCGACCAGTAGTGTTCGAGTAGAGAGCTTGTATAAGGTTAATGTACTTCTTTGGTACACCTTTCAATGACAGACACTGCCACAGAACATCACGATACACTGAGTCGAATGCCACCTTAAGGTCCAGGAAGACAACTATTGTAGAACGCCTAAATGTATGCCTATGTTCCAGGACCTGTCGTAGTGTGAAGATGTGGTCTATACATCCACACCCAGGTCTGAAACCAGCCTGGTTTTCTCGAGTTTGCTCTTCACGAGCACTAGTTAGGCGTCCGAGTATAATCGAGGCTAACAATTTAGGAACTATATTAGTTAGACTGATTCCCCTGTGATTGTCACAAGAAGGCTTGTGTCCTTTCTTATAGATTGGGACAATCAGTGATTGAGAACACTCGGATGGAATCATGTCCAGTTCCCAGATTCTACCTACGATTTCAGTTAATCTAGCTGCTGAAACCGGACCACCATTCTTAAATATATCAGGAGTCAATCTATCAGGTCCTGCTGTTCTCTCTCGCTACAGATTTCCTATAGCCTATTCAACTTCAATACGGTTCGAAGGGCTTACGTCCAACTGCCATTCAGGATGACTGGAGATCGTGGGTAACCGAAGTGTGGCTGAAGACCAGTTGAACAGATCCCTAAAGTGTTCCGCACATCGGTCCAATCGCCTGAATTGAGAGTAAATAATAGTCCCATCATTTTCCGAGATAGTCGCACTTACAGAAAAATTCCTAATACTAGTTTCTTTGATAAGTCGGAAAAGTTGTCTACCGTTACCTATCGCCGCTGCCTTTCCCATCTGTCTCGCTTTCTCCACACACCACTGTTCGCGGTCGCTACCTAGGCTTTTTATCAGCCTGCGCTTAAGCTGACTTCGTTCCGCATCATGTTCAGAGCCAGGTGGGATGAGTTTTTGGGCATCCATCAGATCGGTGGATGCTACTGAGATCCACGGCTTCATTCTAGCTTTATGGTCAACCTTACTAGCAGATATCACTGCTGTTTCCACAGCCTTTTCGATATCATTCCAACCTGACACCGGATGGGAATCGCTTAAATGGTCGCCTAACTCTCTTTCTAGTTGTTCCTGAAATATATTCTTCGCCTTATTATCATTAAGTAGAACTCTAAGAGGCTTTCTTACGGTGTCTTTCCTACGTCCAGAAAGCCTCAGACAAATACGCGCTTACATTTGATCATGGTATGAGTCTAAACGTGCCCCAGAATGAGCGACCGTCCTCTATTGAACCCCTTTATCGATGGCTGACGGCAACGTGATCTAGTCGGCTTCAACGTTGAGACGACTTTGAGCTCATACCGTGAGGTGATAAACAATCGAAAGAAGGGTTGATCGAGGAGATAAGGGAGTTATTAAGAGGTGTAGAAAGGATTTAACTGTGACCGATTTGGTCTCGCGTGCTGGTACGGGTATGAGGCCGGATGTTACTTCCCAGCTGCCTACACCGCGGAAGAGTGTTTCTTGAGGAGCCTGAAAGGAAGGTAGATTAGTGTCGGTCTTAGAGACCTGAGAGCGTGACTACAGAGCCCAAGGGACAACTGCTTCAGGCCGGTCACGCACGGCCTTTTTATGAGAGGTTTTCTGAGTGTCAGCTCCTCTCTTAAAAGCCCTTAGTGGGCACTCATTTGTTAGTAATGTTCACCAGAAGTCGGATTTTAGATGTTGGACTCTATCGGGATGATGGGCTTTTTAATAAACGAGTGCACTTTTGGTTAGATGTCAACATGGGCGTTAGACTAGTGTAATGTTTTGATGTTTAAGCTAGAAACCTGTCTGCTTTTTATTCGTTTTCATGCTAGAGTTACGCACTAGATGATTACAGGATCTCAAAAACGATGATTCGAAATTTAGTCAGTTAAGATAAACATAAGGTGTACCACACATGTACATTAGCGTCACATCATGAAGAATCGAAATGAAGACAATAAACTGTAAATAAGATGAAATAGTAGTAATACAGTGAAGCTTAAAATAATAATAAAACCCAAGGTTTAAAGAAAGGGGAAGTCATGAATTTGCGCTTACGTGGATAATCCTGATTCATTTTGCTATAAGTCTGAAACTACAAACCGAGATTACTTCATATACCCTTCAGTAGCTAATGATGACAAATGTAATTCCCTATTGTAGTATTTAGCAGCAGTAAGATGTCTGTTGCAGCTAAATAAAAGCATCTAACTTTTAAACTTGTTAAAACCAGTTTTCCCGGTAGAAGTGCAAAAGGTTGCTTCAAGATTGAGTTACATCGGCACCTGAACTGGTGATAGAGAGTGAAGCGGTTGAGCGTGTTGACCGCTTCATTTATCTTGAGTCTCATCAGTACTGATGGCCGGGTGACTGACGAAATCTCAGCACGGATACAGAAAATTCGATTTTCTTTTGCCGATTTGCGTCACTTATGGCGAAGGCGAGATATCCGTCCACTAACGACTATACTGCGTCGCAGTTCGCTCCGTTCTACTTTATGCTTCTTAAACAGAAGATATTCGCATGTTATTAGTATCTGATCATAGATGTCTCCGAAGCATTGCTCGTGTATCCTGGGACAACCGAGTAAGCAATGCCGTTGTAAGGTAACGAGTACTAGGTAAGGATGGCAGATCAATAGATGAAGTATTGAAACTTCGCTAATTGAGGTGGTTGGGACACGTGTTGCGTATGCCTAACCACCAACTGCCTCGTCAAACTATGTTTTGCAGTGTGGGAGTAGGTTGGAAGAAAGTTAGGGGCGGCCAAACCAAAACATGGCACAAATCCATGAAGTCAGACAAGTGGACTGAGTCCTTTTGGTAGGTGTCGACCACCTGGTTGGGGTCTGCCAAATGATAGTAATTGATGGTTAGAGACCCTGAATGACATTGTTTGCAATGGCGCATGTGCATTCATTCATTGTGTCCTCTCTAGCATTTTGAATTCCTCATCACTTTACCTTTCTTTTTAGGTTTATTTAACTAGATTCTACTTCTTGAATATCTTCGAACCCAAATATTTATAATTATTGCTAATTCTTTTATCACCTCTGCTACTATGGGATTTGGAGTGATAATTGCATCTCTGTTCTAATGTGGTATGGCTACTTGGACTGATGTACGTACGTACGAAGTTCTACGTTGCTGTTGATTGACAATTAATTTAGCTTTTCCCCTTAGTAACTGCACATTTATCCTTAATCATCATAGCAAGAGTTTTTTATCTGGTCAGACTAAACGCATCAAGTTATCTTACATCCTAATTATACACGGTAGCTAACACGCCAGGGATACTAACTCTCAAGATAATGACGTGTTTGTGATGTACGAATAGGCGTACTTGAATAATAACCATGCTTCATACGAGAAATAATGATCCTTGGATAAATAAACGTTACTGCCCGTCTTGAGTCAACGGTTTGGATCTAAGAAAGTAAACTTCAAGTATTAAAGGTAGTTAAAATAACAGTTGTAGATAACTGGTTCGTCAATGAAAAGCATCTTTTATTAAGCGAATTTTGGCTTACATGAAGGATGTTATTGACAAGGAGCTATGAAACTTCAGATGTAAATATGGAGAAGAAATTTAATGGTTTCAGAGTCGCATTAAGCTAAAAGTCCAGGGTTAGCCGTTTACGTAAGTCAGAACTTGAAGTCCACACACCAATGGCACACTATAACTTTAAACTTCAACTCCTAACCTTAATATGTTAGTTGAAGTGTTAACAATATGTTCGAATGGGTAGTGTTAAAAAGTACTGTAGTCTCAAAAGCACCTCAAAACGACTAGGGTGCATGCAACTTGATCAGATTCGGAATTTACCACTATTATGAGGTACTTATAGTGATAGGAAGCAAGTTTACTATTCATTCAAAATAATAAATAAAACATCGAGAGGACGTCAAACCTCGCGTGGCACCTAGTCTCAATTTTATCAACCGCACTGACCTAAGCTGTACTAAACAAACTAGGAGTTTACGGCCATTTCCAATATCCAATATCCAATATCTTTTTCACGAGCTAGTGTAAACCAATTTGATTTCTTCGCGCTCGATTCTCGTTCTTTCGGTACGGTTCCAGGTGTTCGGTAATGTCCAATCGATGGAGGTCTAGCCACTCGACTGTCTAATTCTAGTCAGTTGGTTGTGAGTTTGTATGTCTCGGGATTTGAATGAAACGTTTGTTTCAGGGCAGTAGGGTTTCTGGATACTAGCAGCCATCACATTACCAAACCGGAGATCAGTTAGTTGCAGTGTGGAGAGTAATAAGGGTAATGAGGAAAAATTAAGTTAAGCTGGGTAACTGGAGATACACTTAACATGGCACAACCACTGAAAATGGTAGTCTTGGGCAGGAGAAACGTCCAGTGCTTTCAGCTTTCTAAGGGTGGTCTAACGTCAATGGATTCATGATTTCAGTGAGTAACTTAACAATCTTCACAGCCCCGTAATGCAATAACTTTATATGTCGACAGGGCAGCTCGCGTTATGAATTGACTGATAAGTGTGACTTCTTTGTAAACTACGACGTCATACCGCCCCTATCCAACATCATCAAACCATTCACATGGGACAACTGTATTAGTGATTTGCAGTACTACTGACTTTCAGCTTCCTTATAGCTAATTAAGCGTTTCTAAACGACAGATCTGAGACTGCAGTGAGGTAGGGTTTTATACGTCCATTTACTCTAGCGCCTAAAATTATGTCTCACAGGGCCAAGCAATTATATATTGTAGCAAAATGTGAAAAATAACAATGACCAACTTCTGTAAACTGTGTTTTTCAGGTCACGTGGGGCCCAGTCTCTCTGAGCAGTCTTTTCCTTTTAGCCAGCAGGAAGACTCTACAAATATATTCTTCCCAGCTATTACTAGTGGTAAATACCAATGTTATTAATACATTCTTCGTCAGCTATTCTGAATTGACAAGTGACATTGGGAACGTCATGACGGAATATGGATCATAGCTCCATATACCTGATCGAAACAAAATAAATAGGACTCTAGGCTTGATTTCGTCTCCACTTACCAAGCCGATGAAACCACCAACCAACCAGTCTTCAGTCCTCTTGAACAAAGTGATGATACGTTTTTATTGTGACTTCGGTTCAGTAAGAGCCAGCCACGGAACTACTGAAATAAGGCAGGCTCTCTTCAAATCAACAAAAGCAGTCCACTCATAACACATCAACAAATGACAACTAACACAGTAAAAAGACAATTTGCAATGAACTTGATATTCCAGGACAGGACGAAAAACCACGAACGGAATCGGTACAATTTTCGCAACCAGGAGATTAGAGTGACCTACGAGAATACAGAAAATTACCGATGCTAAAAGAAGTTAACAATTACTCAGAAGGAAAAAGTCATTCGAAAAATTAAATTGGGACAAAATGAGAGACTATTGATCGTTCCTAAAAGATTTCGACACTATTATTGAAACCAAATTTTCCTTGTTATTATGATATATTTTTCCTAGAGTGTAGTTAGTTTATTATTCACGATACCAACCTGGTTATAGCCTCTGTTCGTGTGTCAATGTATTTTGTTGTTTTAAGGTGTGATGTGGTTTGGTATGCATGGTTTTTAAACTATGTCTACTTGTATTAAAACGGAAATTTTGTGGAGGCTTGATAAGCAGATGATCCAGATGTTGCTGGAGATCCGATATCGACAACCGTAGACACTAGGAAATTAAAATCGTAAATATTTTCAGTGTTCCCTGCATTGTTGGAGATGCCACTGGGAGGATTTCAGGTAATTTTGAATATGCCTCCTTTCATTGGAGCGGCGAAATTCAGATGTATTCTAAAGCATAGATGTTCTGGTTCTATCTAGTTTAATATTTAGACTTGTAGTAGTACCCTGAATAAACATACAACTTCGCGGGATAACAAATGCCAATCCCGTTATTCTAGAAATCAGCGAAAAGATGATTCTAGATGAAGAAGAATATTTATTACTAGCCTCGTTGTGTCGAAGTAATATAGAGGCTAGAGGATTCACAATCGGCTAACGACCAGGCAGGAGGAGCGTGGAGAAACAGAATGAGGATAACAGGCTTGGTGCGCGAGAGATAGTCTTTTGTACAGATAAACAAAAGGAGTACAATATAACAATTATTGTCAGAATTAAGTACAGTAATAAATGTTTGTGTTTCAGAAATTGTTATCTTCGTAAAAGTATACCACTCCATCAGCACACCCCAGAAAGGTTTTACACTTTCGTACAGAGGGGAACGCTGATCGGTTAACGGGCGATTGAAGTGCGGAAGAGTTGACGGACAGGAAGCGACCAACGAAGCTCGATTTTTCATCGATATTCTTTTACGTTGAACTGTACCAATGGTAATGTGTCAAGTTTAGTGCTCAAGTTAGCATGCCACACCAGCGTGGCTCTTATTCAGAGTCTGAAGATTGCGTTAGTAGCGGTCCGGACCAGAAAAAGCTGCAGACATAGGACGGAACCAGACTGAACGTGGGGGGCAGAGACGACCAGAACGAACAAGTTCGAAACCATACGTGTACAAGAACATTTGAAACCAAAACATCGACTGAGTGCATTGACAAGAGCTTGGGTGATCAGGCCAGCTTTGGCCAAGATTGGTTGAAGTCGACGGTACCAATAGGGCGATGACCGTAGGCATGGGCTCAGGATACAAAATGAATAAAAAAGAAAAAGAGAAAAGTGTAGCTTACATGTAGTACGATGATAGTGTACTTTCACGTATCAGTTGTTACCTGGGTCGTTATTCGAGAAAACGTACAGCTAGGTGTACGGAGCGACTGGAACGCGAGACAGTAGTCTCGTGCGCAATTCGCGAGCTCTCAATCTCATCCGAAGTCAAAGGCTGCGTGATCCGCTGATCTGGACGTGAGACCGAAGTCTCACCTGTAGATGGGGCATGTGACGCGTTCTGTTGACTGGGATGTGAGAATGAGGTCTCTGACGCATCCAGCGTGGGATCCGAAGTAGCTTTAGGGTCCCGCTAGTGGCTTTTACGGGTCTAGCATTGGGTCTCGGATTAGCAAGAAGGTCACTGTCATCGACGTGTGCTGGCTTGAGATGTTCAATGCTGACGATCTCGGCGCGGCCATGTCCAGAAACCTTGAGGGTCCTTTCGTAACGAGAAATCACGCGAGCAGGTCCGATTAGGCTGTTGCAAGGGTTTGCGTACTGAATCTACTCGTATGAAAACATGCGAACAGGTGGATAAATCTTGGGAGAGAGCAATCTTTCGATGTTGTACTCGAGTCGACACTGAAGGCAGTGTTCTCATCGTTGGACGTAGTCTGATTTATTGAAATTATCACTGCTCCGAGGTGTGCAAAATTCCCCAGGCAGATGCAATGTCGTGCCGTATACAAATTCAACAGGGGAACATTGAATATCTGCCTTTAAACTCGTTCTGATACCTAAAAGGACGAGCGGCAAGGTTTCGTACCAATTGTTGTTTTCGTGTGCTCGAAGAGCACTTTTAAGTCGGCGATGAAACCATTTGAAGCTGGATGATAGGCGGTAGTGCGTATGCGCTTTGTACCAAGCAGCTGAGTTAGAGAGGAGAATAATTTGAACTGGAACTGTTGTCCTCGGTCAGTTGTGACAGTCGATGAACAACCGAAAAGAGCTATTATCGTTCTACGAAGCGGTGAGCAACTTTTTACACCGTAATAGAAGTGATGGGAATAGCTTTGGGCCATCTTGTGAAACCATTGATACATGTAAGTATGTGATCATACCCATGCGATGGTGGCAATGGTTCTACAATGTCAATATGAACATGATCGAAGGGACCATCAGGAGTTGCAAATGTGCCGATAGGGGTGGCTACGTACCTGTGCACTGTTGATCGTTTTTAAGAATTGCTTTACCCACATACGGACATCTTTACTCATGGAAGGCCAGACCTATCGTGCAACGATAAGACGTAATGTATCTACGATACCTGGATGAGACAAACCATGAAGGGCATCGAAGACGAGACGGTGACAAGCAGAAGGTAGAGTGGGTAGGAGTAAACCAGTAGAGTTGTCCGAGAGGATAGTTTCTGAGGTGGTAGCTAGTGGTACGTCCTGGCACTAAAGAGATATAGATTGTTGTGCTTCTGTACAAGAGGGATCATTTGCTTGGGCAGCGGCTATAGCAGGAGGATCAAGCACCGGTAAGGTAACTGCATTCACCTGAACACGTGACAGAGCATCGGCAACGTAGTTCGACTCGCCTTTAATATGACGAATTGAGATATATAGTCCAAATGTCTGGACTCTTGTGGTAAGTGGCGCTCAGAATTGGTACGCGAAGCGTATGTTAGAGGCTTATGATTGGTGAAAAGGAAAAAATTACGACCTTCTACGGAGTGCCGGAAATGTTTGATGGCACAGTAAGCTGTTCGAAGTTGGCGGCCAAAAGCGCTAAAACTCGTCTCAGAACGAGTAAGGCGACACGAACGGCGAAGTCGTGCCGTGACTGGTGGTCCGCGGGTGACGAAGTGGTGCACTACATGATGAGTCACCGAAAGATTCTCCTCGAATGGTTTAGTTAGCCGGGGAAATTTTTCGAGTAAAGCGTGTCATCACGCGAATGAAATACCCCTGTAATACGGTACCCAATATGCTACCTAGGTACAAACTCTAGGGAACAGGCGAACATTCGCCACTGGTTCTTGATGTAGCGCACCCCAAATTCAGATACGAGTGTCGAGAACCAGACCTCTGGGTCGTGAGGAATAAACGCTACAGGTCAAAAATTAGGAACCCGTCTCCGGGAGTTAGCTAAAGAATCGTCATTTTTAGATTTATCTACCATTTTCTAACGCTGTTGCAGTTGTGATATATATATATATATATATATATATATATATATATATATATATATAATTACTTACTTACTAACGCCTGTTGTCCCTAATGGAGCATAGGCCAACCACCAGTTTTCTCCAACCAACTCTGTCCTGGGCTTCCCTTTCCAATTTTGTCCAATGTTTCTTCATTCCTCTCATATCTTTTTCTATTTCTCGGCGTGATGTGTTCTTTGGCCTTCCTCTTTTCCTTTTGCCTTGAAGGTTTCATGTGAGGGCTTGTCTCGTGACCCAGTTAGGTGCTTTTCGTAGTGTGTTTCCTATCCACTTCCACCGCTTCTTCCTGATTTCTTCCTCCACTGGAATCTGGTTTGTTCTCTCCCACAGTACATTGTTGCTGATGGTGTCTGGCAAACGAATCTGAAGTATTTAGCGTAGACAACTGTTAATAAACACTTGTATCTTATGGATGGTGGATTTGGTAGTTCTCCAAGTATTCTGTTAGCTGTCCTCCGTGCATAATTTTGCAGTTGAATCCATCATAAGAATTCCGTATGATGTTGACTATTTTCTCAGGCACATCGTAGTGTCGAAGAAGCCTCCACAGTGTTTTCCTATCCACGCTATCGAATGCTTTCTCGTAGTCAATGAAGTTGATGTAGAGTGGTGAGTTCCATTCAATTGATTGTTCCACAATGATCCGTAATGTAGCAATTTGGTCAGTACACCATCGATCCTTACGAAATCCAGCCTGTTGATCTCGAAGTCCTTCATCCTGTTTAACAATACCCTGTTGAAGACTTTGCCTGGTATTGAAAGAAGAGTGATGCCTGTGTAGTTCTCACACTTGCTGAGATCGCCTTTCTTTGGTATTTTGATCAGGTATCCTTCTTTCCAATCTGATGGTACTTGTTCCTCATCCCAAATCTTCTTGAAGAGAATGTGAAATATTTTCGCAGTTGCTTCCAAGTCTGCATCTGCTGGAATGTTGTCTGGTCCTGCTGCTTTGCCACTCTTGATTTGTCTGATTGCCATACTGATCTCCCCAACCATAGGTGCGCCAATATTAATTGGGGTCAGCGGATAGTGCTTCCATGTTGAGTGTGTACAATGGAGCTGGTCGATTCAAGAGTTCCTCAAAGTGTTCTGCCCACCTACGTCACTCTGGTTTACGATAGTTTTCGGCCAGCTTCCTTGTTGTACAATTGTCTCAAGTTTCCGTCTCTTGCAGCCTTTTCCGCCGTCATTGCTAGATCTTCCACATATTTTCGTTTGTCAACTCTGATGCTCTTCTTCACTTCCCTGTTTGCTTCTGTGAATACAGCTTGTGCCTTAACTTTCTCTGCTCTTGTTCGACTGACATTAACTACTGCCCCCTTATTGCTGCTTTCTTCAATTTTTGCAAGAGGACCAACAGAGATCCTTTTCTTGTGAAGGTGCTTGTTGTGACCCAGAACTTCGTGACATGTTGAAGTGATTGCCTCCTTTATCCCTTTCCAATCGTTCGCCAATATTGCTTCCATTGAGTATATCGTGCAAGGCCTGGAACATATTGGTGAGGGCTGTCTTCAATTCGTTGAGTTTTACGGTATCCCGAAGAAAGGCCGTATTAAAGGATTTATTAAACTTCTGTGATGTTTTCTGCCCCGTTGTCCAGTGTTTCTTGAGTTTCAGTTTCATTTTGGCGATCAGCAAGTGGTGATCTGAAGCTATATCAGCTCCTCTCTTGGTTCTCACATCCTCCATGGTCCTTCTGAACGTTTTGTTGATACAGATATGGTCGATTTGGTTTTGAGTAGTGTGGTCCGGTGAAATCCATGTGGCTTTGTGAATGCGTTTGTGTGGGAATATTGTGCCACCGATGACCAGTTTGTTGAAGGCACATAGGTTTGCAAATCTCTCACCATTTTCGTTTCTTTCTCCCAGTCCATGTCGTCCCATGATGTCTTCATATCCAGTGTTGTCCATTCCAACCTTGGCATTCAGGTCTCCCATCAGAATCGTCAAATCCTTTGGTGAACATTTCTCGACGATTGACTGCAGCCTTTCGTAGAATTGATCTTTAACGTCGTCATTGTAGTCATTGGTAGGTGCATAACATTGGATGACGTTCATTGTAATGTCCTCTTTCTTTGTTTTGAAGGATGCTTTAATGATCCTGGGTCCATGAGATTCCCATCCTATCAGTGTCTTTTGTGCATGTTTGGACAGCATCAGTGCAACTCCTTGTGTATGTGAAGCATTTTCCTCTTCATCACCAGAGTATGACAGCAGTTCCTCTGAAGCTAGTCTCAGTTGTCCTACTTGTGTCCAGTGTGTTTCACTGATGCCGAGCACCTCGAGGTTGTATCTTTTCATTTCTGCCGCAACTTGAAATAGTCTTCCAGTCTCCCACAATGTACGAACGTTCCATGTACCTAAAAGAATGGTTGCTGTGGTTGTCAGAAGAGGCATCGGCCCTGTGACTTCCGAGGGAACTCGGCTTTCATCACGCGACGTCATAATTCTTCTTGCAACTCCCAGGGCAGAGTGAAAATGGTTTGAATTATTTTTTCCTGTTAGCGTTTTTATGGCAAGTTAGTTTACAGTTGGGATAGTGGCCGCCAACCCCATGTTCAACCCTCCTCCTTTATCCGGGCTTGGGACTGGCAGTAGCCCCGAAGGTTCTACTGGCGGAGTTATATATATATATATATATATATATTGTCAGAATTAAGTACAGTAATAAATGTTTGTGTTTCAGAAATTGTTATCTTCGTAAAAGTATACCACTACAGACTCGTGCCGAGCTTTTTGATGCACCCTGACATTGTCCACGCTTATTTCGACATTTTCTATGGTAAGATGTGTATTTGCGTGGAGGTTTTTTGTTTTGAAAATGTCTTAATCGGTCAAGGCTGAAGTACATTAATTCCAGTAGAAATATTACTAATAAATATGTTAACTGAAACAAATTCGTACCCAGATGCGATCCTCATTTAATGAACGAAATGATGGATGATGTTAGTCATATATGGATAGAAATGTGTTTTCATTGTTTATTGACTTAGGAATTAGTACTGTTCGCAAATTTGCGTTTCAATGATTCAAAACAAATTTTTACAGAGTAGCTTGTAGATCGGTTGGCTGATGAAATTGCTGATAGTAAACACCTCTATATTTTTTTAAAAAGATTATGAAAACTTTATATATATATATATATATATATATGCTTAGTGTTAATTTGGAAACATTGCTTTCTTAAACTAGTATCATTGGACGGTCTTGCATGATAGTACAATGAGTAAAATGCATTATGTCTTGCATATCAATTAAAAACGAGTGATTAATATCCTGAAACTACTTGGAAATGAATGATGAATTGATATCTATAAATTGTTATCCGATAAATAAACCTTCAAAAACACAAAGTCTCCACTTACTCTTAACCTACTGTTTGCTGTGAGTTAATATACATTTCAGTCAGTAGTAATAGCGTGCAGCCAAATAAATTTCATATTCATCGAGACCTAATTTCGCATTACTTAAACAGACTTTCTGGGCACGAATACAAGCTGAATGGAGACGTGATGGTCAAACGGTTAGTATTTGCACACCACTGTGGTTAACGTTTGGTATTTATATGAATACATAATTAAAAACATTTTCTTCAACTTTGTTCTTGTTTTCTAGTATAAAGTATTAACAAATATTCGGAATAAGATTAAACTATCTTCTGAACGAACTTCACAAGTGTTAACTACCTTACTTTCATGTTCGAAACTTTTAATCAATGTAGCTATGATAAAGAGCAGTTCATTTGCTAGATCAACGGATTCAGTGAAATGACTTATTTTGCTAAGCAAAACTTTCAGTTGGAAATTTTGATACATTAAAGAAACTACATTTCCTACAGTAAAATGAGCTGATCCGAATATAAAGTAAGCTAACATTCAGTAAGGATACTAACAACTAAAGGGCTTTTGAAATCATTCAAAACGAAATACTTTTCAGAAGATGATTTGCAGTTTTCCTATTGGGCTTTCTCCAATGAACTTGCAAGTAAAGGTAATTATGAACTACGCAAGTAGTTATGAAGATGTCTGCTATCTTAGACGTTGATAGTGTCTATTAATATTGTGAAACTAAATGATTGTCAATGAAATAATATCGTACATAAATTCTTCTTCATTAGAGGGATTATTTAAAATATACCAACTGATTGTTTTAAAACAATGAAAACAGCAATCGAAATCAAAATAGTTAAACCGATAGAAAACAAAGTGTAAAGCAGAGCGTCTGTATGTATACAAACTTGTTTCACGTCGATTGTTTAACAAAATAAAGTACTGAAATATTTTTATACAAAGTACAAATAAACATGATGAATTAGAGATAATAAAAAACGAAGCTTTATAAATAATTGGAAAACAAAGGTGAAGAATGGGTCAATTAAAATCGAAACAATACCTTTTAGTTGGGAATCTTGATTTTATACGTCAAATTTAAAAAAATTATGTCCGTCGAATAATGATAATAAGTTTGATAATATAGTTATATCGAAAAAAAAATCATTGTATTGATATCTCAAAAATAGTCTGTAAAACAACTGAAAATTTATGTTTATATATATATATATATATGAATACAGTTTATTGCAACAATGAAGCTAAAAGTTCAATCCGTTCACGAACTCGACGTAAATATGTTTGAGTTTCAACAATCATTAGTAAAAGTTCTTTAGAATCGGTGGAGTCAAGACCAACATCAGTTGATAATGGAGGGCTGAATCGAAAGAATGGTACTCCAAGTGAACCACACCATGCACTGGCACGATCAACAACTCGACCTAAAATGTTAAGAATTACAAAATAAATCTTTCATTTAAAATATGTTAGTCTAATCCTATTGCCATATTATTTATTGACAAAGTAAATTAATGTCTTGGAATAAACGGAAAATCACCGTTTTTAAGGTGGATACGCGAAGATAACACAATCTGTTTTTTCTTTTCTTTTAGCTCATTTTACCAAATAAATCTTCGGGAAAAAAAATGCTGATAGAAATAAAAGGATATTGATTCAAACAGGCACCATTCATCAGTAAATATGTTAATAGTGAACATGTAGCACCTTACCATGCTAACTTTTATGATTGGTCGTTTAAGTTATTCGATAATTATATCGACCATTTTTATATTTGTAATAATTCGCCAACTTTATCGAGTATTGTAAATATGGTTGTGTGTGTACGCTTTCTAGTTTATTACATGGCTAACCTGTTATTGCCTGACTATAGGTACATAGTCATTCTTCCGGGCAAGAGAGTTGACTCACTAGCATTTTCCGACTCGCTCCAATTCTCTTTGCTCGTACGCTTTTCATTTTCATGTCTGTTTGGTTAAATGAACGCATAAAAAAACTTCCACGAAACCGTACTCGGCTTATTACCACCGTCAAACAAAAAGACAGACAGATACAACGCAGAACTCGTATGTAAGTACATCAGTTGAGGTTAACATACCACGTCAGCCCGACCGTAGCTGCTATCTTGACGTGGTGGTCGGGCTTGCCTATCATGATGACCCAACCGAGCTATACTGGCTGGAACATATGTTCCTCAAGGTTCTACCATGCCAGACAGGTCGATTGGAGAACGATGAGACTAAAAGCAGCTACCCAAGGTCTGAGGGCGAAGTCGTACTGCTGACTGCAGAGGGGTGTGACAGCAGTAAGGTGTTTCCCTCGGACAACAAGCAGCATCTGCAGCGATGCTGCCTTCTCACAAGGAAGGAAGGGTTAGAAAAGGTCGGCCCTAAAAATGTCACACCTCCCCTAACTCACGGATTTCCGTCTCCTTGGGTAAGGGTGCCCACTAAGGGCCTTTAAGAACGGAGCTAATCCTCAAAAAACATTTCATAAAAAGGCCGTGCGTGACCGGCCTCAAGCAGTTGTCCCCTTGGATGTGCAGTCACGCTGCCAGGTCTCTAAGATCAACACTAATCTATCTTCCTTTTCAGGATCCTCAAGAAACAACCTTCCACGGTGTGGGCGGCCGGGAAGTGACAACCGCCCTCATACCCATAACAGCACGCGAGACCAAATTGGTCAAAATCAAATCCTTCCTACACCCCCTAGTACCTCTCTTATCTCCACGACTAACTCTTCTCACATTCATTCATCACAGTGCACAGCTAATGCAGACGATACGAGTTCGCGAAACGTCGTTCCTGGTCTCCTTAAACCTCGCTCTAGACTACATGTTGGAGCATTTAATGTACGGAAATTGTGTCGAATAGGGCAACAGGCTTCCTTAGCTAGGACTTTAGAATCTCGTGCCATCGATGTATGCTGCGTCTCGGAAACGCGCATACAGGATCCGAGTCGAGTCATACACTTGGCCACACCATGTCAAAATAAAGAAGCAGCTCGATTTACTCTTCGTGTATCCGGTAGCCCTGATGCTACTTCTAGGGGTCTTGCTGGTGTAGGCATAGCATTGAGTCGTAGGGCAGAACAATCTCTCCTTGACTGGATCCCAATAGATAGTCGATTGTGCGCTGTCCGACTAAACGCGACAGTAAGGACTCGGAAAGATTGGGACAATCGCCGTTGCCTCTTCATCGTATCTGCCTATGCCCCCACTGACTGCAGTTCAGACGAGGTTAAGGATGAGTTCTAAAGAAAGCTTTCGCACCTCCTCCAAAAAGCTAGGCGCTCTGAGATAGTAATAATGGCTGGTGACTTCAATGCTCAAGTAGGTAGACTAAGTGAGCAGGAGACACCTAGGTGGATGTTATGGTGTCGCGGGTCAGAGAACAGACAATGGTGACAGTCTGTTGCAAGCATGATCAGACAACCGCCTATTCTTAGCAAACACCAACTTCAGGCTTAAGGAAAAACGTCTGTTGACCTGGCGACCCCCAAAGTCGTCTCAACGTTGGACGCAACTAGATTACATCGCCGTCAGCCACCGATGGAGGGGTTCGATAGAGAACTGTCGCTCGTTCTGGGGCACATGCCTAGATTCAGGTCATGCCCTAGTGCGAGCGCGTATTTGTTTAAAGCTTACTGGGCGTAGGAAAGACACCGTAAGAAAGCCTCTTAGGGCTCAACTTAATGATAATAAGGCGAAGAATATATTTCAGGAACAACTAGAAAGAGAGTTAGGCGACCATTTAAGCGATTCCCATCCGGAAACAGGATGGAATGATATCAAAAAGGCTGTGGAAACAGCAGTGATATCTGCTAGTAAGGTTGACCATAAGACTAGAATGAAGCCGTGGATCTCAGTAGCATCCACCGATTTGATGGATGCCCGAAAACTCATCCCACCTGGCTCTGAACATGATGAAGAACGAAGTCAACTTACGCGCAGACATATGAAAAGCCTACGTAACGATCGCGAACAGTGGTGGGTGGCGAAAGCAAATCAACGGAAAAGGCAGCGGCGATAGGCAACAGTAGACAACTTTTCCGACTTATCGAGCAAACTAGTATTAGGAATCCTAGTGTAAGTGAGACTATCTCAGAAAATGACGGGACTATTATTTATTCTCAATCCAGGAGACTGGATCGATTGGCAGAACACTTTGGGGATCAATTCAACTGGCCTCGAGCCACTCTTCGGTTACCCACGATCTCCAGTCATCCTGAATGGCAAGTTGACGTAAGTCCCCCCAGTCTTAATAACGTCGAGAAAGCGTTAGGTAACCTGAAGCGAGGGTGAGCTGCAGGTCCTGATTGACTGATCCCTAAGATATTTAAGGATGGTGGTCCGGTTTCAGCAGCTAGATTGACTGAGATCTTTGGTAGAATCTGGGAACTGGACATAATCCCATCCGATTGGTCTCAATCACTGATTGTCCCAATCTATAAGAAAGGACACAAGTCTTCTTGTGACAATCACAGGGGAATCAGCCTAACTAATATAGTATCTAAAATATTGGCCTCAATAATACTTCGACGCTTAACGAAAGCTCGTGAAGAGCAGACTAGAGAAAACCAGGCTTGTTTTCGTCCTGGACGTAGTTGTATAGACCACATTTCCACACTACGACAGGCCCTGGAACACAGACACACATTTAGGTGTCCTACAATAGTTGTCTTCCTGGACCTAAAGGCGGCATTTGACTCAGTGGATCGTGAGGTTCTGTGGCAGTGTCTGTCATTGAAAGGTGTACCAAAGAAGTACATTAACCTTATACAAGCTCTCTACTCGAACACTACTGGTCGAGTGAGAGCTTATGGCGAACTGTCACCGGAATTCTCTACTTCAAGTGGTGTCCGTCAGGGATGTCCACTTTCTCCATTCTTGTTTAATTTTATCATAGACATGCTCCTATATATAACCTTATCCTCGTCTGAATTTTCAGGAGTAGACCTTTTACTAGGTGGCCCGCTTATTGACTTAGAATATGCCGATGACATAGTCCTACTTGGTGGAGACGCTGACAAAATGCAGAGTCTTCTGACCACCCTAAGCAACAATGCAAGCATGTTCAGGATGTGGTTTCCCCCCTCGAAATGCAAAATGTTGCCTCAAGATTGGGTTGCATCGGCACCTGAACTAGTGATAGGGAGTGATGTAGTCGAACGTGTAGACCGCTTCACTTATCTTGGGAGTCTCATCAGTGCTGATGGCCTGGTGACTGACGAAATCTCGGCACGGATACAGAAGGCTCGATTGGCTTTTGCCAACCTGCGTCACTTATGGCGTAGGCGAGATATCCGTTTGCTGACTAAAGGACGAGTGTACTGTGCAGTAGTTCGCTCCGTCCTACCTGATGGCTGTGAAACATGGCCAGTGAGAGTAGAAGATACTCGTCGGTTATTGGTTTTCGATCATAGTTGTCTTCAAAGCATTGCTCGTATATCGTGGGACACTCGAGTGAGCAACGCTGTTATTAGGAATCGGGTGCTAGGTAAGGATGGCAGATCAATCGATGAAGTGGTGAAACTTAATCAGTTGAGGTGGTTGGGACATGTGTTGCGTATGCCTAACCATCGACTGCCTCGTCGAGCCTTGTTTTGTAGTGTAGGAATAGGTTGGAAGAAAGCTAGGGGCGGCCAGACCAAAACATGGCATAAATCCATGAAGTCATTGACGAGTGGACTTAGCCATGTCGGTAATTGTCGACTACCTGGTTGGGGTCCGCGAGATGATAATAATCGATGGCTAGAGACCTTGAATGACATGGCTCAAAATCGTTCGCAATGGCGCCAGTGCATTTATTCTTTGTGTTCTCTCAAATCCTAATCTTCTGGGTTCTTCAACACCTCTAGTTTTTACTTTCTAAACTTATCTCATTGAATCATGCTTCGTGAATAATATCTTCTAATTCTAACCTCTCCGATTACTTCTAATACCTTTACTACCTCTTCTACTATTGGATTTGAACTGACAATTATATCTCTGTGCTGATGTGGTATGGCGACATGAACTGATGTACTTACGTACGAAGTTCTACGTTGCATCTGACTGACTGACCACGTCAGCACAGTGACGCAATTGTCAGTTAAAATCCAAGAGTGATAGCGATAATGGAAGTATTAGCAGTAATGGAGAAGATTAGGGAGCGAAGATATGATTCGAGAAGTATAATTCAGTGAGATAAATTTAGAAGGAGAAAGATTGAGATTATGAGGAATTCAGAAGGTTAGAATTGGAGAGAACATAATGAATGAAGGTACCTGCGCCATTGCAAACAATTCTGAGCCATGTCGATCAAGGTCTCTAACCATTGACGATATACGTCTCGCGGACCCCAACCAGATAGCCTACATCTACCAGCATGACTCAGTCCACTTGTCTGACTTCATGGATTTCTGCAATGTTTTGGTTTGGCCACCCACAAACGGATATCTCGCCTGAGCCATAGGTGACACAGGTTGGCAAAAGCCAATCGAGCCTTCTGTATCCGAGCTGAGATTTCATCACAAACCAGGCCATCAGCACGGATCAGACTCAAGATAAGTGTAACGGTCAACACGCTCGACTACTTCACTCCCTATCACTAGTTCAGGTGCCGATGTAACCCAATCTTGAAGCAACATTTTGCATTTCGAGGGTGAGAACAGCATCCCGAACATGCTTGCATTGTTGCTTACGGTAGTCAGAAGACTGCGTTTTGTCAGCGTCTTCACCAAATAGAACTATGTCATCGGCATATTCTAGGTCAGTAAGCAAGCCTCCTGGTAGAAAGTCGACTTCTGAAAAGTCGGACGAGGATAAGGTTATATCTAGCAGCATGTATATGACAAAAGTGAACAAGAATGGGGGAAGTGGACATCCCCGGCGTACACCATTTGAAGTAAGGAATTCCAATGACAGTTTGCCGTAAGCTCTCACTCGACCAGTGGTGTTCGAGTAGAGAGCTTGTATGAGGTTAATGTACTTCTTTGGTACACCTTTCAATGACAGACACTGCCACAAAACCTCACGATACACTGAGTCGAATGCTGCCTTAAGTTTCGGGAAGACAACTATTGTCGGACGTCTAAATGTGTTTCTGTACTCCAGGACATGTTGTAGTGTGAAGATGTGGTCTATACATCCACGCCCAGGTCTGAAACCAGCCTGGTTTTTTCGAGTCTGCTCTTCACTAGTGCTCGTAGCACAAACGGGGTTAGCTGAAGCATGATATATATATTATTACCATTTCACACTACTACAAATCAGAATATAGAGTTTAGAGCCAGTCTCTCAAAGAAACACCCACGTTCGTCCTAGCCGACTGTTTTATTTGTTCAGAGTGCACAGTCGTATGTATTAACATTGTTTTCAAGCACGAACTCAAGCTTAGACGTATTTGTAAGTAATTACAGGACAGTTTACCTTGTAACTTAATTTCGTGAATTTTGAATTTTTCCGAAAAAAATATTTTCCGGGAAAGTAAATGGATAAAATCGCAGTAGTAATGATATAAATTATTGGTAATTAGCTTATTTTAGTAGCTTCATGTATACTTTTGTGTGGGATTATGGCGTCACCTATAACCATTCTGATGAAGGCACAGATTTGCGAATCTCTCATCGTTTTCGTTCTTCTTTCTTAGTCTTTGTCGTCACATGATGTCTCTATACTTAATCCAGCTCACTCCAAGCATGAAACATAGGTCTCCCATAAGAACAGTAAGATCCTTTGCTGAGCATTTCTTAACGATTGACTTCAGGCTAGCATAGAATTGGTTTTTGTTGTCTCCATTGTTTTCGCTGGTGGGCGCATAGGACCGAACGATGCTCATTGTAATCCCATTTTCTTTGTTTTGAAGGTTTTGATGACCTTAATTCCATGAGATTCCCATCAGATAAGTATTTTATGGGCTTTTGTACAACTCCTTTGTATGCGCGTGTGTGAGGCGTTTCCTTTTTCATGACCGCATTACAACAGCATCTCACCTTAAGTGAATTTTTTTGCCTATGTTAAATGGATTTCACTAATTTTAAGCACCTCCAAGTTGTATCGTTTTATTTCCTCGGACACCCAAATATTTTCCACGGTTTCCTAGATTGTGCGGACATCCTGTGTACCTATATCAATTGTCGCTCTGGTTTTTCAGAAGAGCATCGGCCTCGTAACTGCCGAAGAAACTCGGCTTTCATTAGGAGACGTCATATCTTTTATAAATAAAGACGTTCCAGCTGCAAGGGCAGAGTTTAAGTGGTTCACATTATTTATTCTCGCTAGGGTTTTTCTAGTAAATTAGTTTTCTGTGGGATGGAGTTGCTAACCCCATTGTAATCCTTCCTCCTTTATCCATGCTTGGGACCGGCAGTAACCATAGAACTGCTCCAGACAGAGTTTTTAATCATGATAACCGAGTGTACTGAAATAATCCCACGATAATGCGATAGTTATTAAGTATATTATTTGTGTGCAGTGTACAAAACAAGTGGGCAGAGTTTCGAAAACCTCCACAATCTAATAATGACAATAATCTTTTTTTACTAGTGACTAGTTTTGAGCGAAAATTTCCGGAGTTTTAGTGAGAAGCTTTAACCAAAGGAGCTAATCCCTTTAGAGAATGAGGAAGGTAATTACCGAAGACAGTGGAAGATCAAAGTGCAGGAATGTGGATCGATCGAAGTCAAACTTTTACACCATTGGATTCTGGATCATTTATCAAGGAGTTAGGCCTTTGCGTCCAAAATGGAAGGTCCTAGGTTCGATTCCTAATCACAAGTTCGTGGATGCGCAATGCCGAGGAGTCTCATAACAAGACATAAATATATAACCATGAAATTATTATTATTATTATTATTATTATTATTATTAATCTTTACTAAATAAATATTCAGACTCGAACGAATATTAAGAGTTGAGAAATAAAGTTCTTGGTTCAATAGATGTGGATGATTGCTGTCAAAACAATAACGATTTGTTACCGAATACGAGAAATTGCAGTGTTTGTTGGAAGCAGTCTAATCATGATACGTTTAGAAAAATACACTTTTGAGTGGTAGTGAGGGAGAGGGATGGAGGGTGAATCGAACACAGTTTACATTAAAAACGTTATTCCTACTCTGAATGATCACCTTTATCAATATATAGCCTTTTAATAGTCCTTATTAACACGCGTTCTTCACCTTCTTTTTTGAATGGATACCTGTGTAGCTGAACTAAGGTCACACCGTTTAGTTGTCGTAAGTGAAATAGGTGGAACAGATTTAGAACCTGTGGTTTATTGGTTAGACCCTAGGGTGCTTAAACAACCGAACTACTACTACCTCTACATTTTTACCAACACTTTATAGATGATTGGTTTGTGCAGCTTGCCGTTATAAAGCATCATTATTGACGGCTAGTTAATTATACTGAATTCACACAAAAATGTTTTCCTAATCTATCGAACAACTCACCATCCGACATAGTAGCAATTTCAACCAGAATACGACCAAGGAATCCAAAACCACGTACAGATCGATATGTTTCCATGATATTTTGTGGACGAAATACATCTACTGTCTCTACAGGCATTACAGGCATCCTTCCAGTTCCAAGGGAAACAACCACTGCTATTGGAGTTATTGGTTTATTCTAAAAGATTAAAAGGAGTTTTACTTTAAAATCTATCATTACTAGTGTAAAAAGAACGTTTTGAGTAATAAAAACAACCGACATATTCGGTTACAGAATTCCCAAAGAGTGGATTTTACATTGTAATCGCTGAAATTCTTAAGCTGAACACACTCTTTAATTACTTGATAAAACTGTCACCTTCAAATAGTCTATGAAATAATATTTTAGATTGTGAAGTCATGTGGAAAGGGTTTTGTTATGCTCGTCAATTGATATACTTGAAACTATTACGAGGTCACCTTAGTCAGTAAACGAGAGTGAAGATAAATGATCCAGTGACACGATAGGCTATTATCATCCGAGCGTCTCAAAGCCCCACTAAGTAGAGTAAGAAGTCTTGACAAGACGTAGAAAGTGTATTGTACAAGCACCCAGGAAATATGAGGTTTTTGAGCACATAAATCGAGTTTATTTATACAAGATAGAAACGTTCTTGGGAGAGCCACAAAAATAATGTACTAAAATAATACATCAACGAACAACAGCCAAGGATTTTCCGGCTGAGAAATGTAATATCAAGGTCAACTGATCGGCCCATGCTCGAAAACATAAAATCCAAAATCAGGACATGTACCAAGTGAGTTCCAGGGATCTAACGTACCCAACACGTCTGAACCCCACAAATTGACCATCCCCTAAAGATTCTAGTCACTTCATGTTGAGAAGTCTCAAATGACAAGGGTTAGAATTAAGAATTTAAACAAACTGTTATATACCAAACCATTGACCGATATTGCGTGACAATTACAAACACTAATCAGGATTACGTTTAGCGCCAGTAATCTTGAGTCAGATCTAAACCTTTATTGGTTCACTTCACGATAGCTTCTTCACCTCTACTCTGCCTCTTAGTCCAGTAGTCCGTAAGCCAGCCACCAAAAATTAGTTATAATTTAAATACAGTTTTATATACAAATATACCGGACCATATCACACCTTAAAATGAGAAAATCGTCCCTTGTATCAGTTTCTGTGTTATCGATTTATAATGTCGGAACTGAAATGGTTCCTGTTCATGAAGTAAAAGCAGCAAGATAGTGAATATTATGGAAGAGACACCAGACAAAACAGGAAATAAACAGAATAAGCGATTGGAAAGCTTATATAAGGTAACTAAGAATAAAATATTTTAATTCGATTTAAACATTGAAAATACGAAGTTTATATATATATATATATATATATATATATCATATGTGACTACTTTGGTGCGAACAAGATAGATGTAGGCTTGCCGACTAGCCACTTGAAACAGCTATCGTTAGATTGTATCGTTAATGTTCAGTCTAGTTTCAACAATGAAATATATGGGCGAACAGATGATATTGTAATTGCGTCACCAGTCAATTTAATATAAATAAAAGATGACAGTTGTCATTTGTAACGAGGGTGTTAGCTTAATTGACACTATGCATTCTTGCAATACTCGCCATCGACCTTTTTGTTACACCGTTCATAAACCCTAAGAAAATTATTAATCGGAATGATAGAATAATAATGTTATTATTAATATTCAAACAAATGACCAACTTTTAAACGTTGTAGAAGTTGTAATTCTTGAATTTCTGTTAAAATATCCAATGTTGGATTATTTGAAATTAATCCACCATCTAAAAACCGTCCACAAGGTCTAAAATATGTTGGTGCAGCACTTGAAGCTCGAGCAGCTTTCCAAACTGGCTAAATAATAATAAAGATAAAAAGTGTATTAAAAGTAAAACCGTAAAAGTGTTATTAATGTTAATGAAATTACTCAATTAACAAGCAGTGATATATGGACAAAGAATAATAAATAAACTATGCAATCAGTTAACAAAACAGTGATCCAGTATATAGTTTACATTTTGATCAATTAGAGAGATCAATAATCGGTTAAATAAGAATTCAATGATTATGAAAAGACTTATTATTCTCAAGCGAAGTATTACATTTGCTCACAGTTTTCAACTTAATGATTTATATACAAGAATTTAACTTAAGATGTAATAAAGTAAAATTATTCATATTTGGAAAATTTTTAAACAACTGACAGAACATGAGATATTTTCATTTGATTGCATGAAAATGATTCCTGATATCTTGTTATGAATTGAAGTTTCAGTTATATTTTATTTGTTTAAGTATTAGGAATATCACTTAGCTTCTTAAATTGATGTAGATAAAATATGGATCCTAACCTATAACCTACTAGTTGAAAATTGAATGTTTTAACAGTTAAGTCATCGTGTTCTCAATGCTTGTAGATAGTTAAAAAAAATTTCATACTGTTTAGAAATTAGGTAATATTATATTTGTTTCTACATGAACAAGATATTCTCATCATTTTGAAATTATTAAAATTCTTATTAATACTTGTATTTTATAATTACAAAATGGAGAAACTTACATGTTCATTATCTGCAGGCATTTGTTCGAACTGCTTATTTAGATCAGTGTCGGAAGTTGAAAGATTAGCACTTGTTTCACTACCTATTAACAATCCCTGAGCATTTGCGAAAAAATTTAAAATTGATTGGGAAGTTGAAAGGGTTGACGATTTTGGAGAAGCAGCTTCACGTTCAAGTTCATTGACAGCAGAAGTTGATCGACGATGGGTCAATCTATTACCTTTATTGTGTATTGGTTGATAAACAGAAGACTTTGACCCATATTGACGTGTTTCTAGGATTTGTTGTATTCGAGCACGGGGAGATTTATAGTTTCTGAACATATGCAACACCGGTGGACATCGATCACTGACAAGTGTGGTTACAGCAACTCTAATATTTTTGGAATAAAAAATGATGTGTAAATGACTGACAGAAATTGTTTTGATACAGAACAACGTAGATTGAAAGCAATACTATGTGTTATGAAACAATTAATACTCGGTTTGTGAGAGATCCTAAAGAGTTACGTATTTTAATGTATTGAGTTTATGAAACGTTTGATAACCGAACTGAAAAGTGATTTTATCGATATAGGTTATGAAATTATAAGTCTATTGAGCAAGTTACTATTTATTGGTAAAATAATATATTTTGATCAGCAGTCAATAGAGTTTAATTAGTATCACGAGTGAGACAGTTACTCATTTAACTGTGAAAATATTTGTGATATGCTAATGGGTAGAAATTTGAATTTTTAGCGCTTTATGACTGAGTGTACGCTATTTGTGTACAGTAAGTAAATAAATAATCGAATAAAAACTAACAAATTTGGATAGTATAGAGTGAAAAGGGGAAATTTCAGTCCAGCCAAAATCAAAATGATTATTTCAATATCATCTGAAACTTTTGATCAACATGATTTTGTATTCGACATCACTGAGTTTATTTCCGTGTATGAAGGTGGATGTGAAAAATGGAAAATATGTACAATGAAAAAATAGAGTTAAAATTTGATTGTGTATAAATTGCATACGAAATGAACAGAGTTAATTGTGATTGTCTAGATAAAACAATTTGAGTTAGATGAACAATCAGACCTTCTTTCTCATTGAAAGCAGAGAGATTTATGGTTAGGATAAATCATTCTGAATTATTTTGATATTTCCAATATCTATCTGATGGTTAATGAATACAGAAAATTGCCGGTTCAAATGGAATTTTTCCAGTTCTACGCAATTACTAGGAGACACCTGAGCGTGGATTAAGTGTTTCTTGACTCGAGTCAAGATTTTACGAGAAAACTCTCCAACACAGAATGCATCACAATCGACAGGACCTAATCTGAGGGTGCATTTCTATATCAATGTAAATAGTATTTTCCCTAATTTCAAACTAAAATATTTTGAAGAGAGTTGATTGATTTGTACAAAGCTTTATTCTGTATATTTTGAAGATGTATTCAAATTCTTTTGTTGTATGTCGAGGTAAGATGAAACAACAGTACCAATTCAAGGTATTTCATTAGAGTTGATTTTTAAGGATGAATCACTTCGTTTTAGTATGTTTTTAATAATATTTATGGTGAATTTATTGAACCACAAGGTGTTTACTATGTTTTATTCAACGTCGAAATATCTCTTTATGGAGTAATCGTGGTAGCCCTGCTGACTAGATTTTTAATAACCACAGAAGTTTTGCCCTGAATACATTTATAGAGTTGAAACCGATGCACCGATTTAAATATATTAGTTTTCGGTATATAGTTATATGAAAATGAAGTGACGCATTCAAATCAATTCATTGATTTCAACTATGTAGATCTCATTTAGTGTAAACATTTACCCGCAATTTAAAAAAAATCCGACAAACTGTTAGATTTTATTTACTCTTGTATCTTTCAAATGTTTATAAAATTGTAAACTTAAAACAATTGCATCGAAATTCAACACGATTACCATTTGATTACTTTGTATTAACTCATTGATAGCTTTTCTTAGTATAATTATTGATCACCACCTTTAGTAATTCATCTACTCTATAGATTGTAACTTGGTCATAATCATAGTGGTTGACTGCATCATCAAGTGTCGTTTTTCTTACATGATTCACAACTACATCAATAGTTGAACTGTTTAATTTACGGCAATAAATTTTATTGTTTTGGAACAACTAAGCCTTATCTCAAAATGAAAATCTGTTTAAAGAGAATTCTTGAATCGTGGTGTTGTTTCGTTATCTGAGCTGGACCAAAACATCCAGCTCAGATAACGAAACTTCAACATAATCATCCACCTGAGCTACAAATTTTCTCCACCATCTCAGAATTCTTAAACAAATGAGATAGTTCTCACAGAGATTCAAACAAATGAAAATTAATTGCTATTATAGGATGACAATAAGCTAGATAATGAAACTACACATCATTTATCACGTTCCTGGGTAAGTGTCAACATCTAGATAAATACACAATCTCACGCGAATTCAATCACAGTGAAAAGGAGAACGAACGGAATAGTAAAGGTATTATATCGCTAACTGATCAGAGAGTTCCAAAATATAGTCAACTGGACTATGTTAACTAAACAATATTGCGTTAATTCTGAAGTATGAAGGTTCTGACTAAGACTATATATGGTATAGATTTGTTTTCAAGTAACAGAAGCACTTATTACCTGATTGATGATATGCGAATATTAATTATAGAGTTAAAATAATGTGATCTCCCGGGAGTTGAATTGTTAGTTAACAGATGAATACAATAACCGTTATAAAAAAGCAACCATTGATCTTTTACTTTTGTCCACTGTAACAGGCTTGTGGTGATTTCATTTATCAGTCTATACACTACTTTTACTCTAATCTTTTATTAATTTTTATTAATCGTAGCTAAAGAATGTTTCTTTTTAAAAAAAGATAATATTATGGATTCAAATGGAAAAATAGAGTGGTTTTTTTTACCTCACTGTTTTTAAATCAGTCATTACAGTATAATCACCGAATTCATCACGCATTAACGTTTCTAATGGTTCAGGTGGATATGGTCGTTTACCACAGAAAACAAGATCTTTGAATCGAAATAACAATGTACGACAACAATGTAAACATTTGCCAGATATTACGAATAATGATATGGCAGCACCAGTTGAAGTACCTACAGGATAAATTATCCAAATAAATGAAAATAAAATGACGAAGAAGAATAAATGATCATTTATTTCTGGGTTGCACAATACGTAAAATCTCTGTAATAATGAAATACGTAATTTAATTACTAGAGCAGTTCTACTATTACCTCCTCTCTCAAGCACCAATAAAAGAGGGATTACGACGTGTGTAGCAGCTCCATCCCGTAGAAAACAAATTAACTAGAAAACCGCAAATAAGAATAAATAATTTAAATCGCTTAAACTTTGTCCTTGCAGCCGAAACGTCTTCATCTACAAAATGGGTCCTTTGGAAGTCAAGAGGCTGATTCCCTGCTGACAACCAGAGTAACAGTTACCATAGATCTATAGAATGTTCGCAAAATGTAGGAGAGTGTGAGATATATTTAAGTTGCCGAAGAACTGAAAAGATACAACTTGTGAGTGCTCAGAATAAATGAGACCCATTAGACGTAGGCTGGACAGAAAAGACTAACTTCGGATGAAATGTTATAGTCCAGCCATCAGGAAAGAAATGTCTCGTACGCATACTCACAAGGAGTCGTTTCACGTTATCCAAACAGGCACACAAAGCACTTATATGATGAAATTCACCTGGAGCAGGAAACACCACAGCATCGATGAAGACAATGAAACAGTGGATCACAATGAATGTCATAAGGAGTTACACACCACACACCAACAAAAACAACCAGCATATGAAGAATCATTTCTATGAGAGGATGCGCTCAATCATCACGAAAAACTTCACTATTATGATGGGATAAATAAACGCCGACATTAGGGTTGACAACACTCGATATGAAGATATCATAGGACGACATGGACAGAGAGAAAGGAATGAAAACGGTGAGACATTTGCAAACTTATCTGCTTTCAACAAACCCGTCACATGTGGCATCATTTTACCACACAAACAAATACAAAAAGCTACATGGGTTTCACCGAGTCACACTACACAGAACCAAATTGACAACAACTGCATCAGTCAACAGTTCAGAAAGACCATGGAGGATGTAACAACAAAGAGATAGGTCAACATTGCTTCAAATCATCACTTCGTGGAAACCAAAATAAAACTGAAACGAAAAAACACTCAACAACTAGGCGAACAGTATCACAAAAGATTAATACAGACTTTCTCCAGAATATTGGCAAACTCAACAAATTCAAGACAGCTCTCAGCTTTCACGACCTACTAAAGGAAGATGAAATTACAATGCACAACAACGAGAAACGGAATAAAGAACCATTGACTTCAACACGTCATTAGCTGATACTCCATACGAAGCACCATAACAATCAATGGATCTCTGTCAACACTGTGGATACGATTTAAGAAAAGAAGAACATGAAGATTGGAATTAAAATCAGTCGAATAAAGTTGCAACGCAAACCGAATACACAGAGGCAAACAAGCAAGTGAAGATGAGAATTTCAGCTGAAAAAACATAAATATGTGGGCATCTTAACAATGATAGCAGAAAAAGCTGCAACGGAAGGAAACATGAGACAACAGGTGTCTACCTAAGATACTACAAAGCTGTAGACCGGACACGATCAGAAACAACCTATTTTAGAAGAGGACAAACCAGAAAGCAGCTGAGGAAGAAATTGGGGAGAATATCGTAAATGGGCAGGAAACATATCACAGAAGTTATCCGAATGCATTACGAGGTAGGACGTAACTTGGAGACTTGAGGCCAAAGGTAAAGTGTGAGACGAAAGAACACTTTACAAAGAGAACCGGAGACAGACATTAAAAGAGTGAATAGCAGTTGGGAAGATCACGAAACGAAGGTCCAGGACAGAGTAGATTGAGAATACTGGTCCATTAGAGGTAACAAATATATATCAGTCAATCAGTTACAACGTACAACCTCATACGAAAATACATCAGTTCAAGGTGCCATAACACATTGGCACAGAGACACAACTGTCAGTTGAAATAACATAGCATTAGAGGTAGTAGACGTATGAGAAGTGATAGGAAAGATTAGGGTTGGAGGAATTTATTCAAGAAGTACAATTCAATGAAAAGAATTTAGTAGGAGAAAGATAAAGGTGATGAGGAGTTCACATAAGCATTTGAGAGGACACAAAGAGCGGATGCACCTGCGCCAATGCCAACGATTTCGACCCATGTGATTCAAGGCCTCTAACCACCGGTTACTATCGTCTCGTGAACATTAATCATTTAGTCTACACATACCAACATCACTCAAACCACTTGTCGGAGTATTATTTCAGCCAATATTTCAGACACTATATTAGTAAGACTGATTCCTCTATGATTGTCACCAGAGGACTTTTGTACGTTTTTATAAATTGGGACAATCAGTGGCTGAGACTAGTCAGATGGGATTATGTCCAGTTCCCAGATTCCATCTAAGATCTCAGTCAATCCAATTGCCAAAACTGGACCATCATCCTTAAAAATCTTCGGGGCAAGCCTTTCAGGCTGTGCTACTCTGCCTCGCTCTAGATTTCCTACAGCATTTTCAACTTCATCACGAGTCGAAGGACTTACATCGATTTTCTAGTAAGGTTGACCGGACATCCTGTGCAACGGAAGTGTGGCTGAAGGCTAGTTGGATTGATCTCTGAAGTGTTCTGCCAATCGATCCGATCTGCTAGGTTGAGAATGAACGCTACGACCGTCCTTCTCCCAAATGTTCTCACGTACATTCGGAATCCTAGTACCGGTTTCCTTGATAAGACGCAACAGTTGTCTACTGTTGCTTATCATCACTGCATTTTCCATCGCCCTTGCTTTCGCTACCCACCACTATTCGTGATAACTGCATCGACTCGTCATCTGCCTGAACTTAAACTGAATCCATTTCTCATTATGTTCCTAGCCAGATGGGTTCAGCTTTCAGGCGTCAATCGGTTCGATAGATGCTACTGAAATCCACCGATTCTCCTAAAGCTTATGGTTTACCTTACTGGCTTGTATCGCTGTTGTTTCCACGGCTTCTTGATATCATTCCAAGCTGTTTCGGGCTAGGAATCACTAACATGTCCGCCCAACTGTTTTTCCAGTTGTTCCTGAATTATATTCTTGGCTTAAGTAGAACCTTAAAAGGTTTGCTTGCAGCGTCTTTCCTACAACCAGTAAGCCTCAAAAAATTACGCGTTCGCACTAGAGCATGATTTGAATCTAAGCATGTGCCCCAGAATGAGTGACAATCTGCTCTCGATCCTCACCATAGGTGGCTGAAGTCAACGTAATATGGTTGGATCCGCCTTCTCTAACGTGCATTGCTGATTGGAGTAGGGAGTAAGTTGGAAGAAAGATAAAAATGGCCAGTCCAATCAATCGCAGTGACCTAAAGAGATTCAGTTTTTACTTTTCTCTGGATCTGAATTAGCGATATTCTTTTTCTTCTGACTATACCTTCCATAACTAGTGCTTACTATTATCATTGCTACAAAACTTTTTAAACACCTGTTACAACTTGTAAACTTTATCCTGTCGGGTTAATGTGAAATAAAAATTTTTGTCAACGCATATTTATACCATACCAAAAAGTTGACTATAACTGAAACATTCGTATCAACTGACATTTGAAAGTTCATAGTAATCATAATCAATAAAACATATATAAACAAACATTTTACATCACGAAAAATATTACCGATGACCCAATCAAACAATTCTGTAATTTTTTTTCCAGATGCTATTTCTAAAGCACGAAGTAATTCCACAATAACCAATCCACGCATGCCACCACCATCAAGCGATAGAACACGAAGACCATTAGGTCCACTTTTCCATTTTTTCGATTGTTTAACACGAAGTTGACTACTGGGAAAATTGTAATAGTTATCGTTAACAGCATCATTACCACTTGGATTTATATCAGACAGTTCATTTTTATCGATGAATTTGTCGAAATCTTTTACTTCATTACCAGTTAAATCAATAACATCGGTGTTTGGAGGAATAGTGCCAAAAGTATTACCGGCGAAAGTTGTTGCTGCTGGTGTCGATAATGATCTGTCTAAATCCATAGGCATTCCGTTACGTTTAATGAATACAGAGCGGTCACAATTACATTTTGTAGGCTTGAAATTAAATGTCGCCTCTTGTGGCAAATGTACTTTATTGGAATTTGTATCGTCAGGCGACTATTCGTTGAGCAGTTAAAATAAAAAGTGAAAATATTAAATACGAGGAACTTATTGTACCGAAGTGATGCTACAATTATAGAAACACACAAACTGGTTAGTACAGTTTTTCATGTTGAACTATCAATCACATCTATTATAGAAGGACTAATGACACTATTCAACTGATTTGAGTAAGCCAGATAAAAAAGTAAATGAACTCGTAATCAAGAGTTTGATAGTACCTGATTGGTACTACACAAACACCTGATATTAAATCGAATGAGAACGGTTAGTATAACTAGTTAATATTATCTTTCAAATCTAAAGTGGAATTAAGTCTGATATTCAAATATACAATTATATCTAAATGGTTATATAATGGTTAAAGATTACTTCATAGCACCGATTTGTATTAAATATGAAAATAACTACTTATAATTAATGACATGTTTGATCCCAATTGGTCATGATTCCCTAAAGGTAGTAATCAGGTTGGAAAATATGAAGTGATTAGGCTTCTAATTTACCAACGAAATGTGTTTATAGGAAAACTAACGGTGAGTTATTAGTTACTTGTAATCAGTATATGCAGACAGCGTTGTACAAGTTACAACGGTAGTTGTGGTCTTTGAATACCGGTTTATCACATTTTCGGAGGAGGTTAAATCGAACCAAAATGCTTTATATATATATATATATATATATATATATATATATATATATACAATTATCCAAGAAAGTTGTTAAAATTTAATGAACGATCAAGATCAGATTTAAGTTGGATGCACGGTACTAGTTGCACTGATGAACAATCGTGATTATTATGATGCATCAGCTGAAGAACAACACACCAATAATAATCTCCAAAGATGGAACCGAGAAATACAACAGGAGCAATACAACAGGAACTTCATCTTTAACGACGAAAAATTGAAAGAGATCAATTTTGAACAAATGATAACAAAGACATGACCCCAGAATATACAGATAATTAGCGAATACAATACGACTAATTAGAAAAGTGGAAAAACGATACGTAAACTTGAATTAGAAAAAACGTATTAATGGTTACTATCACAAGTGGATATTAAACGTTTATTATTAAAACTGCATAACCAAGGGTCTTTTAAACAAAAGTACGAAAAATATTACAACAGTATTGTTTGATTTATTTCAGCTACAGTTCCTGACTAAATCAATCTGTATAATGATATTAATGAAGTAATCACAATATAAATACAACTTTTCTGTTTGTAAGTAAACTTATTCAAATGAAAATGAGAATTCTATGGTTACTGAGAAATTTGACAGAAATTATTATCCAAGATTAAAAGCTAGTAGATCGATTGACTTGAAATCAACAAAATTCTCAAATTGGATTTCAAGTTAATTAACGGTATTGGTGCGCTACAAAAAAGTGTTAGGTCAGATATTGCAGCCAAAACTCATTAAAATGAAGAAAATTTAATTTTTTTTCTTTTATTTAAGTTTGTTTCTTTGACGCAGATCAGTAGATAAAGTCTAGCTTAAAATACGATATGACAAAACAGTAGACAATAATGTACTATCTCACATATTGAATCATCAAATAATCTAATGACCTTAGGATTTTTCTTATGAAGGTATAGAATAAATCTCATTCCCTTAATGAACAATAATGAAAATGAAATTTAGAAAACAAAATAATCAAGATACAAGAATGTCAAATATATTCTAATCTGAAATGATGTAGAAGAGTTATAGCTTGAATGGATGCGATTGATGTTATCAAGTTATTTAAAATAGTCATTCTGGACAATATCATCAAGGATCGATGTGTTTGGGATTAAAGCATGATTGATTCATTATGGAGTGGTAACACATTGACAGTGGAATAGTAAAAGATCATTCAAGAGGTTGAATTCGATACTCTGTTACTCAACAACAAACAATAACTTGATCAGAAGTTTCTTAGTAGTGATATTAATAAAACGAAAAAATCGGTAGTACACTGAAAATAACATTTATGTTAACTGTCAAAGAATATAATTAAATTATTCAACGAAAAACGATGACTATCTATCCATTCTATTTAGTTTTTCTTTATGTAAATGAATGAATGAATAATTTCGATTATAATCTACAAGAATGATCTTTCTTTAACGTCTGTAAGAATAGAATATTTGTTTATCATCAATTGGACAAAGTTATTTTCGACGATCCTATTTAGGTAAGCTGTAAAATCGAGTTTATAGTTAATTTCATTCACTAAAAGCATAGTCCCTGAATTGCCTTGTTACAATGGGTCTCTTTCGTTATTTGACAATCCAGAAACCAAAGCACAGGACTTGAAGATTTTCCAGTTGAACTGTGTGCAAATATATGTACAGTAGTAGTAGTAGCAGACTGAGGTCTACACAATAACTTCAACTAATGATAACAGACGTTAGTTAACATGGTTGAGAATTCATTGCAATGGCGCAGTTGTACTTACTTCTTATCTTCCCATTGAATTTGAGTGCTAAATTCACCTTATATATCCTACCTTATGAATTTGTTTTTTGTTCAGTTCACAATCAGATTGTCTAGGGTTGATTTTATTTTCTATCACTGATATTGTTACTATTTCTGATGCTTTGTAATTAATCTTGATAATGTGCATTTCACTGTACTAATATTGTTGTTGACCAACTTATAATAATTATGATAGGTCTGTCTAGTACTGATTACATATTCTCGCAATCCACACACGTTATTTCTCATTGCATTTCAATCTTATTGGTGATATTATGCAAGACGATCACAGTTACTCTTCAACAATAATAAACAAACAACAACAACAACAATTCACTGCAATCTTTAAACATCTAACATTCTGATAAAAAGGTATAAAACTTTTGTGAACATTAATCATGGAATAAAAATATAAATGGTATCATTTCATAAACTTGTGATGTTACAAAGTAATGCATGAAAAACTACGATGACATAACAATAATTATTGATTCTCCAGTCCGATAACCATTGAAAATCAGAGGGCACTAGACAGTTGTCGCATGCTAGTTAGTATAGGACTCTGAATTCATCATATCCGATGCACCTTTATATGTGAATCAGCCGGATTGTTTCAGTAAGATGCTCAGACTTGATTTCTAAAAAATGACTTGTATGTGACATACATACACAAAACTACACACAGTTTAGTGAAATAAACATAGTCAAATTAAATTTTATTTATTAGTCTTAAGTAATACTAGGATGTGTAGAAAAAAAAAACGAATGTTTATAATTTGAGATGTGATACACGTCACATCTACTGTTGAATATACATGTGAAATGCACATACATAAATAATATGTACAGTATGCATGTACGAATATACAGACCATCAATTTTTATTGTCGAGGAAATGAAACAATTAAGCATAAAATATTGAAACAATCATAATGTTTTAAATATCTACATTTTATTCACTTTTCTCATGTTAACAGTATTAATTTACCCAAGATTTAACTAGCATTATAGAGATGCTTATTGTTAAATCATTCTTACAATTATAATGTTTTTAAACAAACTAATCATAATGCATCAGAGTTTTAGCTATTACTTACCTGTTGTGGTGAATTCATAGTACAACTAGTAAATTTAGTGTAATCTAATTGTTCAGTTGAATTTGAATTCGATGTTAGTTCGATATCCGAATCGGAAGCTAAAATTTATTTTTTTTTTAAAAAAAAAACAACAGCATCATCATAAAGTATGCCAAATAAAATTGTAATACTGTTTTTCTATGAGAAACTGTGAATTTAGCGAGTGTGTGCAGTTGAACAAGGTGAAACTATGAAAAAATGTGCATTGTTAATTGACAATATTTGAAAATAATATGCATCGGAAAATCTTCAGACACATTGTACGTAAGTGTAGTTTCATTCCAATTGATCAATAATTAAATTCTCACCAAAATGCTAGTGTAAAGATGTAATTTAAACAGTATGAGGCAAAAATCAGTAAACCAGAATGTAACTACTGATTTCTGAACTATGAGAGTAAAAAGTTAGCTAATCAGTATTCTAATTAGCAGTAAAAACGGAATGGTTCCTCTATTCTTGACCATTGATTCATTCTGTTTTACATAATATTCTTACAACTAATAATAATAATAATAATAACATATTCTATTTTGTGCTAATTTGTTCTTAAATACGATTTTAATTTATTGATTAGAATTCATCACCTGAAGATAGATTAATTTTCTTAATCGTCATGTACGATCTTTTCTTAACATTTCTAATCGTATTATCTCATTTGAATAGTATTTACGAGTCAATTGATAGAGTACTCGCCATTTTTATTCTACAGCATGAATTAGTTCTACTTACTCATTGTGGCTGAATAACAATAATAATGATAATACTAGTGATGTAACATTGGTAAAATTAGAGCACGATGAAGAATCAACAGAAAGCAACTGTTCACCCTACTACTCTTCATTTCTGAATCGTTTAGAGAATTTGTAAATTGCTGAAATATTAATGAATACTTTGAATACGTTGTGGTGGTTTCCGAAGAAAATTGAAATATTCAAATGCGCAAAAGAAGTTGTTCCAACGCATAGTTTCCGTCAATGTGATTATTTTCAGAAAATAAAAATGTTACTGTACATGAGGAAAGCAATGACAACAAACAATTAATGTTAGTGTTGGAATTCTAAGGATCAAACGAGCCAATCAAGACAAACAACCGTAAAGAAACAAATTAATTATAACAAACGAGGTTAAGGTCAAATCTAAGTACATGGACTATCTAAAAACAAAACGACGTTTTCTGAATACAAATATGATATTAGGAAATAATATGTAGCCAATTACTACTACATAAGGTGAGAAGCTTTTCTCTCCATTTCTTTTTACACATTACAGTCAGTTCAGGTCAGAAAACTTTGGCAAAATATCAATATTGCCTAATGTAATAGTTGGTGTATATACATATATATATATAGACAGATACAACACAGAACTTTGTACGTAAGGACATCAGTTCAGGTTGCAATACCACATGAGCACAGAGACGCAACTGTCAATTCAAATCAAATAGTGGTAGAGATAGTAAAAGTACTAACAGTAATGGGGAAGATTAGGTTTCGAAGATATGATTCAGTGAGATAAATTTAGAAAGAGAAAGTTAGAGATTGTGAGGAATTCAGAGAGTTAGAAATTGAGAGAAAACAAAGATTGGATGCATCTGCGCCATTGCAACCGATTTTGAGCCATGTCGTTTAAGGTCTCTAATCATTGGTGACTTAAGTCTCGTGGACCCCAACCAGGTCATCACGATAGTCAAGACCGACCATAACGTCAAGGTAGCACCTACGGTCGGGATATATATATATATATATATATATATATATATATATATATATATATATATAGCTTTCTAAATAAATTTTTAACAACGATTTGCATTTTGAAAGATGTTGCATTAGATCGCTAAACTTAAAATTTATGATTTTAATTAATTTCGAACAGAGTATCATGATTTCAATAACACTATATTGTTCACATCTTTAACAAAGAGCAATCATTACGTGTTATAAGTCAAACAACTTGCGTTTTCTGCAAATGTTAACCATTTCCTAAACATGGGATTAAAAAGAAAATAATTCATAAAGTCGAATTCAACTTACGAATACCAAAAGATGCCAGATGTACACTACCACTGTGTGAAGAAGATTCTGTTTGTCGATTGAACTTTCCATAATATGAATATCGTCTTTGTAGTTTTGATAATTTTTTACGTGATTTTTGCTGTCTCATATTATCGTTATTTATAGTATAATTTTCTGAATGAGAATTGTATGAACGTAATCGCATACCATTCGATAAGTCATTATTAGACATTGTTTGAAATTTTGACATTTGATTGCTTTGATTTGAATAATTAAAATCAAATGAAGTAGTGGATAAGAGAATTTCTTCAATGGCTACAATTTAACAATGAACAATTAATTAAAATTTCCAAGGCACTATAAACAGGTAGTTTTGAATAGTTTTATAAATATCAATAATATTTTCTTTTAACAATTAGTCTAACTTACACATTTTCGAAACCATGAATCGATCAATGAAGATTGTTAAGTTCGCGCACAATACCGAAGGTCCAGGGTTCGAATCCTGCGAGATGCAGGAGTCGTGGATGCGCACTGCACAAGAGTCCCATACCAGGACGAAACGGCCGTCCAGTGCTTCCAGGTTTCGTATGGTGGTCTAACATTGATCGATTCACGGTTTCAAAAATGTGTAACTTAACAATCTTCACAACCACGTGATGCAAATTAGTCTAAGGAAAATCACACTGCATTCAAATGAGATTAATCAATAGATTTGATGGTTGGCAACAGGAAAACAACCAGAGTGTAAAGGACTCTCCAAGGTATGTTAAATACTGGCCGAGGTTTATGAAAAAGATAAATTGAAATCAGTTTATTTCCCTGTGTTACAACATTAAGGCAGTATCAAATCGAGTTTATATTTTCTAGCGTAATCTGATTTCAGTTTAATGCATTAGCAACACTGAAGTGTTAATTTTTTTTCATTAGGATAAATGAGAACTTTGTTCAAGTGTGACAATTATATTCCTTGCATTAGTTCACGCGAATTTCGTATGTTTTTAGAGTAACCCTGTATACTAACTAAATGTTAAATAAGTATAGCACCGGTATATGAATGAGTGTATTTGTTTAATTATTGAGATGGTTTTGTATCGCCATCTCACCCTCAATAGTATCACAGGAATCACAATGGTTCCTATTTTCCAGCATAAGCAATAGAATCAAAAGCATTTCAGAATTATTCTCATTATTCAACGAAAATAACTCAAGACTACTATTCATTGCAATGTTAAAGTTGTAAACAGAAACTACTGGGAGATTTCATAGTCTAATATTGTTTTGTAATTAACATACTGTAGAACTACAGACGACAGGAGATATTTTCCGGGAGAGTCAATGCATATAATTGCAGTGATACAAAATTAACACCAGTTACCCCGAATAGAGCATTGGCTACCAACCATCATTCTCCAACCTACTCTATCCTGGGCCTTAATTTCCTGTTCTTTCCGATTGCTGTTCATTACTTTCATGTCGGTCTCCGATTCTTGACGCAGTGTGTTCTTATGTCTACTTCATTTCCTTTAGCCTCGAAGATTCCGAGTTAAGGCTTACCTGGTGATGCAGATAGGTGGTCTCTGAAGAGCATGGTCTATAGACCTCCAGCGCTTCTTTCTGATTTCTTACTCAGCTGCAATCTGGTCCGTTCTCTCCCACAGTAAGTTGTTGCTGATCGTGTCTGGACAATGGATCTGCAGTATCCTGTGTAGACAACTGTTATTAAACACATGAACTTTTCGAATGATGGATTTCGTGGTTCTACCAGTCCCCGTTACCTACAATAGAACTGATCGATATCGGTATTGAAAATTCTGACTTCGGTGTTGACTGACAGTTGTTTTGAGCTTCAGACCTTCTTTATTTGTAAAAATAATGCCTTTGCTTTGCCATTCCTTGTCTTCTCTTTTTCACCCGATCAACCTTGTGTATCATTGATGCTGTACCTGATGCCATGTCTTGATTCGGCCACCCTTGGTATTCTCCCAACGTACTTCTTTTTTTACTAGCCATCGTTGTTTGTTATTAGTCATAATTAGTGGATTGGATTATTAATACATTTCAAGCAGAGATGGATGGTGGTTAGCAGTGCAAGATTGGATGAGCGTTCTGTTCGATTTGAGACTCGTCAGTTGGATGTAACTGCCTTTCAGAGTTGATCTTCAGTCCGGGATCGGAACTAAGAACTTTTCTCTTACAACGTTATCGCATTATCCAATTAGATGAGTTCAGATAGCCAATGACTTGTGCAATGGAGTTAAGTTTAGTTTATTTGTATTGGTTGTTTGAATCTTGCATTATTGGTGAGGACTGGAATCGATCAGTTCGTTTTGTTATACGCGCATCAACTGCTTATCACCATCCGTTTCTGCTAAAAAAATTCATTTAACTTTTGGCTTCCTATTAATTATTATTCGCAGTTAGAGGCATTTTCATTGACACTCATGATACATTTAAATAAATAAGTACTCATTAGTTAATTGACGGTAAAGAGATGATAAAAATGCTGAACAGTATGAACCAATACTTTGAAAAAAATGGGAATATAAGGTAAAAAAGTGAAAATGAAGTTAACGAACAACATATGAGAAACAAAGATTTTTTTCATCCTAAATTAATATTACGTAGATAAGACTTTCACTGAAAAGTCACGTTTATTATTGTTCAAATAGAATTAGGAATCAGAGAGGTATTAATGACAGTCTTGAAATATTGTCAACTAGTTGAAATCATAAATTTGGATCATTGGATTATGATCTAAAGACCTGAAGGTGCTGAAGTTTTATACTCAAAGGATTGATTGATGTGATCCTCCTGGGAATAACAGAACAGAACGAAAACATTGTAGTGTTTTCTAGTTTTATCTAGCTGATATCAAAAATTTCCCTCAGTTGAACAAGTGCCTACTCGAATCATGTGTTTTGGAAATATGATGTTCGCGAATAGACAAGCAATTTACAAAGAAATATAAAACACACATACTAGTCCTCTTGACTGTTCGAGTGACTGATGATAGTTCTAGTTTGTGAGAAGGCACAATCGTTTTCGCATCTCTCAGTCGGTAATGAAACAAAGTAATCCTGCTGAAACAGCCTTAACCGAAGACCACGTTTATAATTCCCTAAATTATAAAACATCCGTTCCTGGTAGTGATTTCACATATCGGAAAATGCTAAAGTGGAAACAATAATAGAATCATTTCTACGATTAATCTTTCTAATCAAGCACGTTTAACAAACACTGTACCGGTAACTAGAGTTGTAACTTCTCGAAATGATATACAAATTGAAAAAAAACTAGCCTTGCATAAAAATCTGGAACAAAATATATACCGAAATCTAAGAATTTTTCGCATATTTCAGAGATACATTTCATAAAATAACCGAATAACAAGTTAATGTCAGATGCGGTTAACTCTTAATATCAACCAAAATGTTAGATGATTGTTCATTCAAGGTAAAACATATCTGCATGTCAAGCACTTAATGTTGACATAAAAAAAGTTTTTTAATTTAACAATTGTTTATCACAAAATATACAGTCCAGCCATATTACCACACACAAATGTTGGCTTTGAAAATAAGTAATCCAAAAAGATAAAGTTTGTAAATCAATAAACTGAACAGATTGGTCGAAAACTGAAAGAATTATTATCACAATTATGCTCTTTAATACACACAAACATAAATGACGGTTAATAGTTATATACAAATTCATTTGCTAGGAAGTCGGTTAAAGCTCGTTATCTGAATAATAAAATAGAAATGAACAGGGATTTTCGGTATTATGAAACAATATAACAAATGAGAAGAACCAAGTAAATCATAATGACGTTCGAAGTTTAAATATCAAAGTAGATACAGTAAATTATTTAAATGTCATCCTCACGTCTCTGTTGAAGGTTGCCTGCTTTCATTTCGGAAAACACGAACTTCAATTGCAATCACTCAATATTCACCAGTAAGTTTTCGAATCCAGTCTTCATTTCCCCTTTTTATTCATCTGAACTGTCTAACCGTTTAAGGCAATGCGTATAGTGGTTGAACCGGAACATATCACAATACAAGATTATATAACTATCTAGACTATCGTATCATATTTCCTCTATGACAAAAAGATAAAAACCTTATCCATCCAGAATATAAGACAATAAGTAATGAGATTTTAATCAACAGAGTAACTTACATTCACGTGCGAGATCTGCTAAATGAGGAACAACTTCTGGAGGTGTACCATTAAATACAGATAGATTACATTTTTCGGCACATTCCAAATCAATACAACCTTCTGTACAATTAATAGTCCCAGGAGGACATCGGCTAATACCTAATGCATCTAAAGTGTACAAGGCTAAATCTCTTTAGTGTAAAAGGAAACAAAATGAAATAAAAATATTTAGTCAATATGGTGGTTATCATTACCATCACAATTAAATAATATGCTTAACGTTGTGGGCTAATAAAATTCTTTTAGAAAATAACGACTATTAAATGACAGGAAATAACCTACTAGTTGTGGCAAATAATAACTCAACTCCATTTTATAATATGATCTTTGTCACGAACTCATATCAGCTAGAGAACCATTAAGAAAATAAATCGCTCACAATACTTGTTTCGGGACTAACTTCTCAGTGGTAGACACGAACATAACCCTGATAGGAAGTGACGATCAGAGACTACATCTTTAATGATGAATTTGTTACGTTTAGGCTATTAACAAATGATTGTTGATGAAAGACTGTTAAACATTAACTATAACGATAACTTTTTGAACCACTGAAGTCGCGTAGACAACTGATTTGAAATTTTTAAAGAAAAACATTGTCTTACTACCATTTACTATATTTTTCTTATTACTATTGAGAAGTGTGACTATCTGTTGTAAATTCTTAGCTACTCTGACGCCGACCATTTAAATAACGAGCTGATCGGATCCCATCGATTAAGTGTCAATGTGACTACTAATGTATGTGACTCGGCATCGAGTGCATCATGCTGAGATGTAGGTCGGTTATAGGTACACCGTGCTGTTGGGTGCCAAATAGTCTTAAACCTTGGTCCAGGTCCTCACTACTACTTCCAATTACCTTCTCAAAAGATAATTTATTGAAACGTTTCAACATTAAGTATCTAAAAAAAGTAGAACGATTGAAATTATGGAATTCAACTACAATGGAGTTGTTTCTAATCGAAAAACATTTCATTTAAATGAAGGTATAACATATGACGTTTTGAGAAAATCCATGTCATAATGAACCTCTAGAACAGTAAGGTCATTTTTTTCATCTTAATTTCTGAAAATAAGTTATGATCATTGGTTCTTCATTGTACATTAGAATTAAAAATTTTTGCATCACAATAGACAATGACAGGGTATGGGTAAACAAAGCTCAAATTAGTCCAATAAATACTATTCCATGAAGTTATGAAGAGTTATATATAACAAACGTGTGATAAAGTATGATATAATACAATATTGTGCATATTTATAAACAATCCTGCCGGGTGCAGGAGTCGTGTATGCGCACTGCTGAAGAGTCCCATACCAGGACGAAACGGCCGTCCAGTGCTTCCAGGTTTCTAATGTAGGTCTAACACTGATCGATTCATGGTTTCGAAAATGTGTAACTTAACAATCTTCACAACCCCGTAATGCAAATATGACTTATGTATTAAGGCTACAAATAAGAGAATTCGCAAAACGCTTGTCAAGCAGTTTTTTGTACTTCCGTTTAGAAATAGATAAATGGAAATGGTTAATTGATTTACTGTATAATAATCTCCCTTAATAATAGAATTTAGTACGTATAGTTCATGAAAATTTCTAGCCAAATATATATATTGAAATATGATGGGTGGAGAAGCAAAGGATTTCAATTTCTTTTTAACATGTAATTTATAAACAAATAACCTGTTATGTATCGTCAAAATGCTTTCCACACAAATATGTCATATGAACCATACTATAGGGTTAAATGATATTGCAAATTACAACACGATTATACGTTAGTTACGCAGACATGACTTGATGCAGACAGTCAGTTACAACGCAGAACTTTGGACATGCGTACATCAGTTCAAATCAAATAGTAGTAGTGATAGTAAAAGTAATAGCCGTAATCAGAGAGATTAGGGTTCGAAGATATTATTCAAGAAGTTTAATTTAATGAAATAAGTTTAGAAAGAAAAAGATAAAGGTGATGAAGAATCCAATGGATTACAATTCGAGAGAACACAGAATGATGCAACTGCGAAAGGCTTTGGTCCATGTCGTTCAAGGTCTCCAACCATTAGTTACTGTCGTCTCGCGGACCCCAACCAGGTAGTCTACACTTACCAACATAACTCAGTCCACTTATCAGTGACTTTATGGATTTCTGCCATGTTTTTTTCTGGCCGCCCCTAGCTCTCTTCCAGCATACTCCTACGCTACAAAACATAGCTCAACAGAGGCAGTCAGTGGTTAGGCACATGTCCCAACCATCTCAGCTGATGAAATTTGAATACTTCATCAACTGATCTGCCATCCTTACCTAGTACCCATTTTTTAACAACTGCAGTACACTTGTCCTTTGGTTTGCAGATTGGCAAAAGCCAGCTATGACTTCGGAATCTATGCTAAGCTTTTGTCACATACCAGATCATCAAGAATGATGAGACGCGCGAGACGATTGATGCGGTAATACGTTCAACCACTTCTCTTGCTACCACTAATTCATGTGTCGACGTAGGCCAATCTTGAAGGTGAAACCGCATCATGAACATGCTTGCATTGTTAATTAGGGTAGTCAGAAGACTGTATTTTGTCAGAGTCTTCACCGAATAGATCCATGTCATCGGCATATTCTAAGTTAACGAGCAAGTCGGTGACAGTGTTATCTCTAAGAGCATGCCTATGACGAAGTTTAACAAGAATGTAGGTGGACAGCCAATATTTTAGACAATATATTAGTTAGATTGATTCCTCTGTGATTGTCACAAAAGGACTTTGGCCTTTTTTGTAGACTGAGACAATCAGTGGTTGAGACCAGTCAGATAGGAAACACCTGATCCCCAAATTCTACCTAAGATCTCAGTCAATACAACTGACAAAACTGGACCACCACCCTTAAAAATCTTCGGCGTAAATCTGTCAGGCCGTGCCGCTTTCCCTCGCTTCAGATTTCCTATTGGATTATCAACTTCATAGAGTCAGAGGACTTACATCAATTAGCCATTCAGATCATTGGAAACCAAAGTATGGCTGTAGGCCAGTTGATCTGATGTCTGAAGTGTTCTGCCCATTGATCCAATCTCCTAGATTGAGAATGAATAATAAGACCATCCTTTTCCGAAGTAGTCTCACTCACATTTGGGTTCCTAATACCAGTTTCCTTGATGAGTCTGAATAGTTGTCTCTACTGTGACTTATCGCTGCTGCCTTCTTCATCTCTCGTGCTATCGCGACCAGCAACTGTTCGTGATAATTAGGTGAGCATTTTATCAGCCTGCACCTACGCTGACTACGCCCCTCGTTCACAGCCAGACGGGATGAGTTTTCGAACGTCAATCAGTTCAGTAGATGCTGCTGAAATCCACTGATTGTCCCTAACTTTATGGTTTACCAAACTAGCAGATATCACTGCTGTTTCCACAGCTTTTCTGATATCGTTCTAAGCTACCTCTGAGTTGGTATCATTTACGTAGTAGCGAAACTGTTTTGCTAGTTGTTCCTGAAATATATTCTTAGCTATGTCATCATAAGACAGAATCCTAAGAGGTTTTCTTGCGATGTCTTTCCTAAGTCCGGTAAGTCGCAAAACAATACACGCTAGCACTAGAACATGATCTGAATTGAAAAATGTGCGTCAGAATGAGCAGCAGTCTTCTATCGAGCCTCTCTACCGATGGCTGATAGCAACTTTGTCTAGTTGGGACAATCGTTACATTCTGTAAAACTCATATTTCATCCAGCCTGAACTGCAGTCGATGGGAGCGTAGGCAAGGATAACGAAGAGACGACGGCGAAAGTACCTATGTTTACGACTCCTTACTTTCTCGTTTAATCCAACAGTTATTCAGTGTTAGCTACGCTCTTCAAGTGGCCCTAAAACCGGAAACGAAAATCCGTCAGGTAAGAAGAGGTGTTGGATTTTTAGGGTCTACCTTTTCTAACACCTTCCTTCCTTGTGGGAAGGCAGCACTGCTACGAATGTTGGTTGTCCGAGGGAAACACTTTACTGCTGTAACACGTTTCTACAGTCAACAGTACGACTTCGCCCTCAGATAGTGAGCAGCTGATTTTAGTATCCCCGACTCCATCCGAACTGCCTAGAACGGTACATCCAAAAGGAACAAATTTTCCAACCAATATAGCTCGGTTGAGTCATCACGATCGGCAAGCTCGACTACTAAGTCAAGGTGGCATGGACGGTCAACATTTTTCGATTGTTAGGTTGCCATTATTGTATCTACGTTATTACAGCATCTAATAGAGGAAGGTAACGTCTCGTAAGCATACACAGAAGGAGTCGTTTCACGGTATCCAAACAAGCACACAAAGCACTTATATGATGGAAACCTCCTGGAACAGGGATATGAAGATATCATTGGACGACATGGACAGAGAGAAAGGAATGAAAACGGTGAGACATTTGCAAACTTATCTGCTTTCAACAAACCCGTCACATGTGGCATCATTTTACCACACAAACAAATACAAAAAGCTACATGGGTTTCACCGAATCACACTACACAGAACCAAATCGACAAAAACTACATCAATCAACAGTTCAGAAGGACCATGGAGGATGTAACAACAAAGAGATAGGTCAACATTGCTTCAAATCATCACTTCGTGGGAACCAAAATAAAACTGAAACGAAAAAACACTCGACAACTAGGCCAACAGTATCACAAAAGATTAATACGGCCTTTCTCCAGAATACTGGCAAACTCAACAAATTCAAGACAGCTCTCAGTTATCAACTCCAAGCCTTTCACGACCTACTAAAGGAAGATGAAATTACCGTGCAGAACAACGAGAAACGGAATAAAGAACCACTGACTTCAACATATCATTAGCTGATACTCCATACGAAGCACCATAACAATCAATGGATCTCTGTCAACACTGTGGATACGATTTAAGAAAAGAAGAACATGAAGATTGGAATTAAAATCAGTCGAATAAAGTTGCAACGCAAACCGAATACACAGAGGCAAACAAGCAAGTGAAGATGAGAATTTCAGCTGAAAAAACATAAATATGTGGGCATCTTAACAATGATAGCAGAAAAAGCTGCAACGGAAGGAAACATGAGACAACACAGGAGCCAGGTCGCGAATATAGTAAATCAGAACGACCAATGAAAAACAAGGAAGTCAAAGTAATCAAAGATACTGAAGAATAGCAAGACAGGTGAGTAGAGCACTTGAAGAACTCTTGAATAGACCGACCCCATTGAATCCACCCAAAAAAGAAACAACAACTACGGGCCTCTCAGTCATCGTCGGCCCATAAACATAGATGGGATAAGCACGGCCATCAGGCAAAACAAGAGCGGTAAAGTGGCAGAATCAGACGATATACCAGTTGAGACACTGAAAGCTGAGGCAGCATCAACTTCAGTGATACTCCACATCCTCTCCAGCAAGATTTGGGATGAAGAACTAGTACAAACAGACTGGAAAGAGGGATATTTGACCAAAATACCAAAGAAAGGCGATTTCTTGAAGTATGAAAACTGCAGAGACTTGACTATTCTCTCAATACCAGGAAACCCTTCATCAGGATTTTGTTCGACAGGATGAAGGAGTTCAAAGAAGCCCAACTTCGAGATCGACAGGCTGGATTCCGCAAGGATCGAACATGTACCGGTCAAAATGCAACATTACGGATCATTGTAAAACAAATGACTGAATGGAACTCACTACTCTACATCAACTTCATTGACCACGAGAAAGTATTTGATAGCGTGGACAGAACTTACTATGGAGGCTTCTTCGACACTACGGCGAGCCTACGAAAATAGTTCACATAATTCGACATTCGTATGACAGACTACACTGTAAAATTATGCATGGAGGACAACTGACAAATTGGTTCGAGGTCAAGACCGGTGTTAGGCAAGGCTGCTTACTCTCACCCTTTCTCTCGCGGGTCGGCGACCTATCTACTACAGGTGTAAGATAGTAAATGAAACTTTTTGTAATAGAAATCCATTCTCGCAACATACTCTCAATGCATAGTTTTTTATTACCACATTGACTGCTACTACTTCTAATGCTCTGACCTTCACCGTAAAAATTTGATCACGCTATGTTAATGCGTTATAATAAATTGGACCAACTCACAAATATTTCAGGTTCTAAACTGTTTAAGAATGTTTGAAATAGTCGAAAGAATACGAAAACGGAAGATCTATGTTTGTATAGCTATGCAACGAAAAGAAATAAAAATCTTACTTTAAAAAATGAGTCTAGAATAAATAAAAAACGATTTCTTAAATTCTGGTTGACTTTTGAAGTTTATAGTGGCCTAGATGACCTAATATATGTGTTTTGTTTATTCAAGATACAAAATTCAGTAAACTGCAATAGCTGCAAACAGTGAGATTGCTATCTATATGGTGTGTTAGCACATATTTACACATATCAGCTTTTTAAAAACTTTAAACGATGAGTTATTCAACAACATCACAAGCAGTACTCATATGATTGGATTTCGTGAGCGTTTATTCACTCACATTTCATATATATCAGCTGATAATCCAAATGATATTTTTCTGAAAAAATGTGCTAAACCGAACATACAAAAAATAAGATGATATACTTTACAAAAGAAATTAATGTTTTGCCGTTAAAAAAATTTTCAGAAAATAAGGCAATCTAATGAAATCACAATCTAGGACGAAGCAACTGTTTGGTGATACCTAGTTGTTGAAATTTCCTACCTCCGTAACTCATAATACTTTGATAAGGAAAACTATCTGAACACTGAACCAATCTCTATAATTCATCCAACTGAACATTACCTACGTCGCTAACATAAACGAACTATTAAAATTAATATTTATTATAATGTCCGACGGCTCTAAGAGTTTATTGATTAATTTAATGGTTGTAAATGTGTAAACATATATTAACCTTATTTATAACAGTTCTTTCAATAAACAAGTTCAAAAGATCATGCTTCACTTTTGATGAAATGCATGTATTATTTATGAAAATTTTAGGTTGACGGGTATTAAACAGATACATGATGAAAAAATGAGAAAAATTTATATAATACAATAATTTATGACTATCAATTAAATATTTGGTACTTTTTCAACCATTTTTATTAGTGATATATATATATATATATATATATATATATATCCTGTTAGGTTAAGAGTTGATATGAGTGACTGTCCCATGAAGTAACTAATATACTCTTGCTAACACCTTCCCGACCACCTTTACAGGGCTAGAAGACTAAAAATGTAGAGGATGTCGCACATAAAGGTCGAATAATGATGCAAGTGACAAACGAAAACTTGTACACGGTAATGGACTAGTTCAGAGAGGGACATACAAGAGGAGGTGAGCTCAGAGAAGAGGGTAATTCTTGGTGAGGTGTCCTTCTTCCCAGTCTGTTGTCACTTCCTTTTTCTTCCCAAATACTGCCAAACAGAGGGTGGAGAATCTAGACAGTTATTACTGTTTACGCTTCCAGTATCTCAGCATACAGACTATCTAGCTCTGCGATTAGTTAGATGGTGACGCTGTTGGTGGGACAAGATCGGTTGAGAAGTCAACAGATGTTGCTTCGATGATGTGTGACTTCAGTGCAGCTGGTCTATTCAAGCTTTCTGTTTGCTTGAACTATTCATTTAAGAATAGTTTAAGCGTTCTAAAATTTGCCGGTATAATTAGGACAACCGAAAACCATAACAGACATAACTATTTTTAACAAGATTTAAATGATTTGTTTCAAATTCACTAGGCATATACAACTTTGTATATAATGTTATAGGGCGACAATTTTCATGTTTAAGCCCTAGTATTGTTGCATAGCTGTTTATTGAAACAATAAGTGATGCCAGGTAAAGCTTGATCAACAACAATAAGCTAAAATTGTAAAAAACCACTTGATTATTTTAATATTCCTATATTTCACACTATTATCATGATGCATAGAATTGACGTTTATGTACTGTGATTGATATTAAGGCATGGAGAAAATCATCACATTATTTACAAAACCTCTGAACTGAAATGCAAACAATCATTTTGTACTGCTATTCATTAGTCTTCTTATCATTATCACTATTAGTTAAACAATATAATAATATCTATGATATGCATAACTAAAGAATTCGTTGAATAGATATGAGAAAGAAATGAGTTATAAATCATCCTCAAGTGTTCATACATTAAGAGAAAACAAAAGAAGCGATTTTGTACTTCATATCTTTCGTCAATTGAGAATACACTAAGAAGTAAGTAAGAACATTGATAAAAACACTATTTCCAATTATTATTAAAAGACTTAAGCCACACGCTTTACACATTTGAGATAATTTAAATAGATTTCGATTAGTTTCACGTATTAAAAAAAAAGTATCGCGTTTTATGTTTAGATCAAATGTTTTAGGCAACTTTTTCAACACACAAATCATGTAATACAATTTAATTAAATAGTTTTACGAAAAAAAAGAAGAAACTTGATTGTTTTTTCAACATGAATTCATGTTATCTAGAGAGAGTATATAATTGTACATCAAAGTTTGCTTTTAATAGATTTTACACCTTCATTTTGAACTCATTCGGTAATATGTATGCCAAGGAATTTTTACAAGATGAAAACTTGAAGTTATTAATCCACATGATAACCGACTAAGAATGTTTTATATGAGAGAGCAAAAGAAAAAGTAGCTATTTAATGCTAATGACTGATTTTAGTTTGTGACAGCTGCCTAGATTAATCGCATTTCATGATAGAAAACTACCTTAGGAATTGCAAAAAAAATAGTCGCTACTCTAAATCATCATTGTGAAATTAAATTTTCTAAATATGAAATGGAACAAATTTAAACAAACACTAATTAACCATACATATTTAAACATAGATCATTAAGCTGGGAAACTTCGCGTGATAAAACCAATAAACAAAAGCAACAGAATTTGGGCAAATTTACTTAGTTTTTCATTAATCATGGATCTAGAAAGCAGAAAGCAATGGATACACACTGGTTTCTTCAAATTTTTTTGCATATTTTGTTGGGTCTACCATGAATTTTATATCAAACTCTGTACACATTGAAGCCTTCAACATTATGATATATTTTATGAATAATTATTCATTCTTCGAAATAAAGAAAATAAAAAAAAAACTAGTTCAGTTTAAAATGAGATATTTATTAGTTATTTTTACTGGATAGACAACTAACCCCTAAACCCATTATACATACAATTGTGGTTGATAGTACTTCAATACAAATAAAGTAACAGAAATGTGATGAAATTGTAATTTATATGAGAAAAAAAATTACTATTCATGAAACACATTTGAGCAAAGATAAGTGATCCTAAACAAACTTCAAACACTTATTGAGTTCGGAAAAGAGTTACCGATAAACTAAATACCGAAGGGCGTTATGTTAAATCTGGTTGGTTCATCTATAAATCATAGTCCCGCCCCAAAATGTTTACATATTACACTTTATGTGATATGTTCAGTGATAAAAATAAAAAAAGTTTTACCTCTGTTAGTTTTACAGAATCCATCTTTGATTTTATTTTGATAAAAATTTGAAAGAGTTTCAAAATTAAAGAGACAATGAATTACAACACAGATGTATATATGTGTTGTTTTATATGATGGAAACGTCTCAGAAAAGAATATGTATTTACTAGAAAAAAAAATGTTTTTAAAATAGATAATGAGAAGTAGACAAAATACGATTTCGTTGAAATTATTTGCATGAGTATTGAATTATCCGAAACGATATTAATCATTCATGCAACTTACCGATCAGGTGTAGGCACATAACTGAAAATTTATAGAAACAAAAATACATTAAAAAGCAGAGCATTAACATTAGACTCGGTTTTTATGTTTTATTAAGAAACATCTGTACAGTATTACATAAACACTTTGGTTTCATTGTTGATTAACTAATGACAAAATGATACACTGTGAAATCAAATCGAAGAGCACTGTAAATAGACTTCATGCATTCCACTTTAAAAACTTCGCATCCGTTCTCATCTCCATATCGCATAAAAGCGATTCATCCAAGTATTTCAACATTATTCAGTCAATAAATAAGTAAGTAGTAATTCATCAATAAGTAATTCACGCTTAGTATGACAGCATTATATGTACAGTGTAGACTAAACTTCAAGGAAAATCTGAAATTTAGAAACCAAGTCATTACTTGTCTGTTTTCAAAAGTGAAAGGCTGTATTCGATTACTGTGTGCTGCATAAAAAAACGAAAACGGCACTGAAAACAAATATTCACTAATTGAAACCATACAGTGAAATCAGCTGCATAACGATTGCATAGGTCCATCAGACAGCGTAACAACAATAACAACAATTTATTAGTTCGACTTGGTTACACGTTCAACGTCAGAAAATCGTGTCAGTGAAGTTACGAAAATAATGCGATCAATGATCTGTGTATCCATTTCATTCTCGTAAAATTTTCAATGAAAAGTAGTCAGTCAATCATCAAAACTATCTTGAAAGTCAACACAAGAGAGAAAACTTGCACAATAATTAGTATTTTCATCAAAATACACTTTTAGAAAACTATCAACATAATTGACTTCAAACTAACCTTTCAGAATTACTACATAACAAGTGTCGACAACTATGTTGATTATTATCCAAAGCATAGGGATCTGCTTCAAATGCCAATAATGCACGAATAGTATGAATGGATGCATTATACTAACAAGGAACAAAAGTGATATTCACACATCAATGAACATGAATGAACAAGATTGTATGCATTAACAAATATAGAAGCAAAAGAGAAACGTATGCACTGATTCGTCTATTTACTTATAATGTTGGTTTTGAGGTGAGCATAATACTGTTAAACTGGCTCAGTTAAAATCTAATAATCCTAAAGTACTAAAGAAATGTCACAACTCTTGACAAACAAAACGTAGTAGTTTACCGACAACACTTGATGAAGATCGTGTTATCTTATAAATTGACTGATCAACAACGTAGTGAAGCAATAGGAAATACATGATAAATAGTATGTATAAGGCTAGCTGTTAAGTCGATTTGTCTGATTAATATCGACGAGCAGTTCATAAAATTTAATACATCTCAGTTGTGAGATGCATTGCGCGTCAATAACCTTGTTGAAGAAGGTACTCTGAACCATCAGTTAGTGCTGTAAACCGGGTACCTATGAAATCTATATTTCCATCTAAATCCATTACGAGACAAACTTCGACAACTAATCAAAAAATTATCTTTTTTACAAACTTAGAATCAGTATTAATATGAATAAATGATGAAGTTCAGTTTATCAACAGACAGTTTCGAAACAACGAATTCAATGCAATCAATGCAATTACTAATACTATCTGTTCTTTTTTCTATTTTTCCATTAAGACTTATCCACCACTGATGTGAACTTTTCTCGTATGCCTTACGCACACGCACATAAATCAACTTCCAGGTCCATCCAATACTTACCTGACAGCAACGAAAATATTTATTAAATATTACTAGGTGTCATATTAGCTTCAAGTAAGATTGAGATGTAAACCAATAAAACCTACAGTCATCGCATAATGTAAAGGAGTTGCTCCATTAATATCACATAGATTTGGATCGGCACCACGAATTAACAAGGCCAAAACATCTTCGAAATTATTATCGTGTACTTTCATATGCAACACAGTCAATCCGGAATCATTGCGTGCATCTAAATTAGCTCCAAGTATACATAATCTCTCAAAGATCTATCGATTGAAAACAAGAAAAAACAACTTTGCTTTCTAAAACAAACAACAAAATTGATGCCTAAACATTGGTTTCGTTCAAACAATTGTAGTAATAATTCTGACAAGTTATATAGTAAAATAATAATCACCTTAATTATTATAACCAGTATTTTAGACGTACAGAAAATACAATCATTCTTATTAGCCTTACTATAACCAGTGTAAGTCATTTGTGTTACATAAACGAGCTACTTAGTTGTAACCAGTATGTATATGTATAAGAATTGAGTGTTAACGCAAATTGACATGGATGCTAGTAAACAAGTGTATGGTCAAAATCATCGTAAACTTAAACATATTACCCCATCCTTCTTAAAAATCGGAATAGTAAAACCTGTTAGATGTTAGTGTAAACCAAGATTATTATTACCACTATTATTCCTGTTCTTATTTGTTTCAATCAATTCCTACACAGTTACTAGCTTTGACATTGCATTTGATTTAATCCACTTGGATATATACATTTCATGATTTAATCATTAATCAAAAGATAATAGCGAGACAAAGTTAATATTTTTCATACGGAAACAAATTGGACACAAAAATTGTGTTGATAGGAGTGAAATAATACACTGACAACATTGGTCTAATTCACATCAAAGTTAAAAACCAGGAAGCCTGGGATAGTTGTTTTATAATAGTGTAAGACTCATCGACAGTGTGAATTCATGACCCTAGAAGAGATCGAGATGACCACCTTCAAGTCCCGTGACCGAACTTTTCACTTATAAACCATTAAGTTGGTATTTTATGGCTTCCATTTACAAGTTCAATCATTTTGCAAAACTGCGCGACCACTATTCATAGACAGTCAATCTATATTGTCAAACTATCATCAGCACAACTCTCATGTACTAATTACGATATTATTGGACGAAGTTGAAATATTGTGATGAAGTTTCGTTCCCTGAACTAGATGATTTGGTTGTGGAGCTGTCATTGTTCTTCTGAACAACATCATCTGAAAAAATGTTTACTCCAGTAACCTTTTTCTGTTTATCAATGTTGTGTTGGTATCTGTAGTGTGCATCAATGATCATTAGGTGTACCATGTATCTTCCACTTTGCTCAGCTATTCGCTATTCAGAAGAATAATGAAAGCCCCAACACAACCAAAACATCCAGTTCAGGGAACGAAACTCCCTCACAATTATCCACCTGAGTAACGTACATAAGTGCATGGTTTTGTAAGTCTAATTTTATTGTATACAAACAAATAAATAAATGAATTAAATGACATGGTAAGATCATTATCAGTGTGACAACGAATGAGTAAAGTTTAACAAAAAGATAATAAACCTAATAAAATGGTAGTTTTATAGGTAGATGATATGTATTACTGTTTGTCCTGTTACTGTTTAAATACGTGATCAGTTTATTTCACGCTTACAAATAACTGAAAGCACCTAAGATTCCTCGTATCACCAGTTACAAAACCTAGATGAACGTCTTTGGAAGTTACAAGGCCTTATTTATGTAATAGATGAAGTGGATTGTGACAACATAATAATGTTGTGTTTCTTGTAAGTGTAGGGACAAAATTAAAAACGTATCATTTAGTAGAAGAAACATTTTCTAACAGAATATTTAGGCATTGATATTCTAAGCCGCTAATCTAATCACACGTTAAAAGTTTAAAAGTCGATAATCTAGATTAGAAATAATGATCTTTAACAACGTAACTTTAATCTATATTTTGTCGCTTATTGAGAATGGATATAACAAATTAATGTCGAAAAATATTTTTCGAAAAGAACAAATGGAATTCGATACAATTGATTTTTGTAATATTAAATTTTGGTCAGTCAGTTACTACTAGATAGCATAGATACCGGGCACAATCCATATTAGTGCAATGACGGAAAAACTACACATAAAAGTAAATCATTACACATAAAACTATTGTCAATGATAGTTAGAAAATTAAAGATAGACAATATTATGAGATAGATATTAATGAAATTATAGGATGAATAGATTGAACAACAATAAAACTTAACAGAAAAAAGAACTAAATCAATGTCACTACGACTGATTTTTTATACTATGTTATCTAATGATCTCCACTCTTAGATTATGATTGCAATGTAAATCTTAACAAGGAAGTTTGAACCTGATCATTCATTTCAATCAGACAGTCAACGACTTCATGGACTATTAGTCCATGTCTTGGTTTAATAAACCATAACCCCAGTACGGCAAGTATCAGTAGGCAATGAATCGTCAGCTGAATCATGTCTAAGCTAAATTATTAAGCAGGAATTTAGTATACTCTGTAAACAGGTTGATTATATTATGTTCAGTTGGTAGATTTAGTTGACATAAAACATACTCTTACATTAATAAAATTAAGTTTTAATACGTATATTTAACTATATTTCACTATACAATCCATATCGGTGTGTAAATATGATGCGAGCACTAAGACTAATTTATGATAACGATCGACTAATAATCATCAAATTTGTTATAAGTTTTCATCAACAGGATAAGTACTCAGAAAAGATTGATGAAACTTTCGAGCAATATGATTCAGTGCATCAAACAAGAAATCCGAGAAAACCATACTCCTGAAAGCAATGAGTAAACACTATAGGTTAAAATTCATTAAGTATATACAACTTATGCGATAGAGAGAAAAGAGAGGTGACCAGAAAACACCACAGAGAAGTTGTATAGGTTTAAGTTGCCACATTCGTATTATGGCTAAGTGGCTCTATCTATGTGTTGGGGATGTTAGATCCCCAGAACTGGCTTGGTAAATGCCTTATTTCGGTTTTCACGTTTGCCAACATGGGCTGATCAGTTGACCTTGAGATTTCAATTCCTACCAGGAAAATCCATGGCTGTGATTCGCTGCTGTGTATTGTAGTGTGCTATTTTCTTAACTGCCCCAAGGACGTTTCTATGATGTATAAATAAACGAGAGTTGTATGCTTGATTGTACTGTGATTGCTGGGTGTTTGTAGAATATACTTTCTACGCTTACCAAGACTTCTGTTTTACCGTTTGGATTCAAGCTAGCCTACCTGGACGATGGTAACAGTCTCGTTCGCGTTTATCGATTGAGTGACGAACCCAATACTATGGTTAATTACCATTGATCTGAAGTGTATCAAATTGAACTGACATACATACAAATGTTTTTCTATATGACTTCTACGTACTAATAACTAAAAAAAGCTCTTTATTCAGTTGACTCAAACTCTGTTACAATGAAACAAATGAGTTATTTGTATACCTGTCCTCTGGTTTTTGATTGCCAATGTTAGTTCATATTTTTTATTACGCGAATACAGTCCTTATTTTAATCACGTTACTATTGAATCATTTTTACGATCATTAATGCTACTATTATTTAGACTCTTATTATTCTTCATTCATATAAAATTCATTTCTCTGAGCTGATATTGTACAATAACTTGGATCAATGTGTTTGATGCCAATTTTAGTTCTTTTAATTTACACTAATTTACAGAAGAATATTTAAAATATGACTTTTAATCAACAGACTGAAAACTTTATCTAATTTCATTGAAAGCAGTCAAACAGTATCATCACTTGATGCATTAAAAGTATGAATTCAAAATAGAATACAATAATTTATGATTAGTTATTTTGTTATGTTAAATTAGATTTTGAAATGTCTCAAATGATTCATTTAAAATCAAATAATACAACTTATTTATTTATTAAACTGTTATCAATGTTTATTATTATTATTATTATTATTATTATTATTATTATTATTATTATTATTATTATTATTAGAATCAAATACTTACTTTGGAATTATGCACCAAATGAATTGGAGTATTATGATTTATTAAATCTGGTAGATTGATACAATTAGGGCAGTAAGTGTAAAGCAGATTAACACATCTGTATTATTCATAATGTAGGAAAAAAAGAATAAATTATTCGATTAATTTTATTATGGGCAACTATTATTATTACTATTATTATTATCAATAAAACAAGGGACACAATACAATCATTGAGTGCAACTTATCTATAATCCTCGAGTGGAAGCCTGCCTTTTTGGCGAAATTCTCCCACTTTCGAACAATGTGAAGCGTATCACGCTCATAAGATTTTGAGATGGTGGAGAAAATTTGTAGCTCAGGTGGATGATTGTGGTGGTATTTTGTTTGCGCTGATGTTGTTCAGTAGAACAATGAAAGCTCCACAACCAAAACAACCAGCTCAGAGAACGAAACACCACCACTATCTATAATCCATCATTAAAATAAAGAATTCAGCAAAAGTATAAAACATTTATAGGTTTATCAAAATTCTAATGATAAAAAAAAATAATTTACAGAAGCACCACTACTGATAAGGTAGAAACTTTCATCATGATAAGAATCGAAATAACGAATTGCCCACAAATCAAAAAAACAGCCTATCACTTCACTGAAAAAAATATATACATCGAATATTACAACGTAAATGCGCTGAAACCTTTTTTATATGACCGTATTATTTGTTTATTACTACAAAATTCAAATCGATAAGTAAAAGTAGGAATAACCGACTATGTGAAAAAGATGAAAATGAACGGTTAAATGAAGTCAGTAGTAAAAACAGATTGGAATGGTATTATCAATAACCAGATAGAAAATGATATACATATTTTAATATTACATGGTAAAATATTAACGGTTCTAGAGTGATTTGTCGCCAACATCTTTGTCTGTAACTTTAAGAAACCTTTTAAAGCACTGAAAAAAGGTTGGTAACAGACATTTAAAACAATATAAAATACAGGGAAAAACTTTGAGTTGATTCCATTGAAATAAATAAATCAAATGTTGGTAGAGATTCAATGAAATCTAAATTGTTATTAGTTACTACTTTTTAAATACATCCAACTTACGATTGATTTTATAAAATTTACATCCATAGTCAACTGTCCACTCTTATGACTAATAGTATCTCAAAACAAAAGTGTTGTTTAATACTTACTGTCTATAGGGCGGCGAGGTAATAAAAAAAAGCTCATTATGAGATTATTATTTATGGTCTTTGTTATAAGTTTTCGATAGATTGAGATCATATTATGAGAATGTAGAATAATGGGCGATCAGACTATGTGATTTTGCATACACACATACATACATTCGAAAACAATCGACCAAACTGAAATTATAGTATACGAGGCAAGAAATAGATAGATAGATAGATTTAATTTTATCGACTTTTTATTCGTTGAAAACAAACCTATTTACAATTTCGAAAAAGATGACCAAAGAGTAAGTCAACAAACGAGTTTTAGAAACTTTTTCAGACTGAACTTCTAAACGTAACAAATATTTAAATTATTGACAGTAATGACATCGAGAATAAGAATACCAAGTATATTGATAATTGGTACATTAAGTAGAAGTAGTATCGTTACAATTGATTAATATGTAACTTACATATTCAATTTCTATTATTCATTTTTTAACTGACAGAATATTTTATATTCATACAATTCGTTGGTTACATTTTTTGTCAATAAATAATATTTTTTTCAAATATATACATTTACATATGTTCAGTTAATCAATCGTTTAATTATATGTAATGTGGTTTGAATCATGCTTTAGACATAGGGAACTTATTTGGTAAACGCGACAAGTGATTGAAAACGGTGGTAGAGATGGCTCAGAATTGACTATAGGTGGAAATCTGGATACTTTCTATCTTCCTCTAGACCTTAAAATCCAGTAATCTCTCATACTTTTCAGACTGTTTTCTGAACTATACTCTCAACGCTTAGTTTCTCTCATTAGTATTGCTACTACATTATTTTCATTCCTTTGCTGTTTATTCTGCTAATTTTTTCTTCAGTCATGGCACTTTTGTGTCAAGCTCTACTTTCATCACAATTGATGAGTTATATATACAGTATATTTATATTTGCAACTGACGGGAATCGACTCAGTTAGTTATACATTATTAAAGCTTTAACAAGAATTCCATTAATTTTATGAGTATGTTAATTTAGCAGTTATAATAAAAGTAACCTGAATGTTTTAAGAAAACAATGAAATATCCACTGGTGTAAATACAAGTGCAAACAAACTCATGACGTCCGTCAGCAAAATCCAATACATATAATGAAACCTAACAAATTCTTTCAAAGTTTTTGGCTTTCACAGTAAACCTTAAGTCCAAGTAGGTAACAATGTAAAATGAATATGCGATTAAAAAACGCGTAAAGCAATAAATACAGAGAAAATGTGTTTGAACTCAACAAGGAGCTGCAATAACGTGGATACACATTGTCATCAATGGCAACCTAACAGCCGAAAAATCTAGACCGTAGATGCCAGCTTGACGTGGTGGTCGGGCCTACCTATCGTGATGAATCAACCGAGCTATATTGGCTGGAACATATATTTCTATAGGTTCTTCCATGCCAGGCAGGTCGAGTGGAGAACGATGAGACTTAAAACCAAAACTCAAAGTCTGAGGGATAGGTCGTACTAATGACTGTAGAGAAGTGTAACAGCAGTAAGTTGTCTTCCTCGGACGACTAGCATCTGTAGCGATGCTGCCTGACAATGTCACACCTCACCTCAGCTCACGGATTTTCATCTCCGGCGGTAAGGCCTTTAAAACGGGAGCGGAGCTAACACTTTAAAAACTTATCATCAAAAGGCCCTAAATGAATGGCCTTAAGCAATTGCCTCTTGGGCTGTGCGATCACGCTCCCAGGTGAACCAGACCAACGCTAACACGATTTCCTTTTTACATTCCTTAAAAAGTACCTTTCAACGGTGTAGGCAGCCGGGAAGAAACAAACGCCCTCATACGCCGAAAAGCATACAAGACCAAATCAGTCATAATCAAATCCTTCGTACACCTCCTAATAACTATCTTATCTCCAAGACCAATTCTCTTTTCGTTCCTTTATCACCTTGGGCCAGTAATGCAAACGATTCGAGTACACGAAACGTTATTCCTGGTCTCCTGAAACCACGTCCTAAGCTATATATTGGAACTTTTAAAGTGAGAGCTATGTTTTGTGGTGTAGGAGTTGTTTGGAAGAAACCTAGGGTCGGCCAAACCAAAACATGGCAGAAATCCATGAAATCACTGACATATCTTCGAACTCTAATCTTACCATTACCAGTAATACTTCTACTATCGCTACCACTATGTGACTTGAACTGACAGTTGCGTCTCTGTGCTAAAGCAGTATGGCAACCTGAACTGATGTACTTACGTACGAAGTTCTGCGTTGTATCTGTCTGTCTGTACTTTTAAAGTGCGAACCGAATACCAAATAGGAAACCAAGTTTTCTTACATACAACTTCGAAATCTCGCGCCATTATTGTGCGTCGTCTCTCCGAAACGCCACATACAATCCGAGTAGGATCATCAAGTCAACTTCACCTTTTCCAAATTAAAAACCGACCAGATTTACGCTCCGTGTATCTCGAAACCCTACTTCTGCTTCCCGTAGCCTCGCTGGTGTGGGTATAGCATTGAGTCTTAGAGCAGAATTGGATTTTTTACACTGGATCTCAGTAGATAGTCGCTTGTGCTCTGTCAGACTGAACGGGACAGTACGGACTGGCAAAGATAGGGAGACTGGTCGTGGTCTGTTCGTTGTCGCTGCCTATGCTCCGACCGACTGCAGCCCGAACGAGGTTAAAGATGAGTTTTACAGAAGGCTTTCCAACCTCCTTCAAGAATTTAAGCGCTCTGATCTAGTAATAATGACTGGTGATTTTAATGCTTAGGTTGGTAGACTAACTGAAAAGGGAGGATGCCTGTGTGGATCTTACGTTGTCGTGGCTCAAAGATCAGATAATGGCGACCGTATGGTGCAGCAATGCTCAGATAATAGCCTATTTCTAGAAAATACTAGCATTAAGCATAAGGAGAAACATCTTTTTGACATGGCAACCTCAAAATCCGTCCAAACTCTGCATCCAACTAGATCACATTCATTTCAGCCACCGATGGAGGGGTTCGATAGAAGACCGTCTCTCACTCTTATGCACATGTTTAGATTCAGATCATGCTCTCGTGCGAGCGCGTATTAGTTTGCGGCGTACTGGACGTAGGGAAGACACCGAAAAGAAACCTCTTAAGGTGCTACTTAATGATGGCATAGCTAAGAATATATTTCAGCAACAACTAGAAAGACAGTTAGGCGGACATTTTAGTGAGGTTCTGTGGAAGTGTCTGTCATTGAAAGGAGTACAAAAGAAGTACATTACCTTATACAAGCTCTCTCTCTTCACTATAGGTCGAGTATGAGCTTGTAGCTAACTGTCATCAGAATTCTTTACCTTGAGTGATGTTCGTCAGTGATGTCCACCTTCTCCATTCTTGTTAGACTTTGTAACATGCATGCTTTCAGAGATAACATTATCTTTGTCTAACTTTTCAGTGATGAACCTTTTACAAGGAGACTTGCTTGTTGAAATAGAATATGCCGATGACATAGTCCCAACTGGTGAAGATGCTGACACAATAGTCTTCTGACTACCCCACGCAACAATGCAAGCATGTTCAGGATGCGGTTTTCCCCATCGAAATGCTAAAACCAGGATGGTTTTCGACCTAGACGTGGCTCTATAAACCACATTTTCACACTACGACATGTACTGGAACATGGACACACATTTAGGCGTCCTACAATAGTTGTTTTCCTGGACCTAAAAGCGGCATTTGACTCGGTAGTCCGTGAGGTTCTGTGGCAGTGTCTGTCATTGAAAGGTCTACCAAAGAAGTACATTAACCTTATACAAGCTCTCTACTCGAACACCACTGGTCGAGTGAGAGCTTATGGCGAACTGTCAACGGAATTCTTTACTTGAAGTGGTGTCCGTCAGGGATGTCCACTCTCTCCTTTCTTGTTTAATTTTATCATAGA